GGTAATAGTACAAATTATAGAATAGTGATTAGTTTAAATAGAAGTTTTTACTACCTCCATTAATTGTTATCTGCAACTTTGGGGTATTATTTGTGAGATATAAAAAATTCCAAAGTTGCAGATAACAATTAACAGAGGTAATATATTTTATTTCCTAAACAAAAACGCAAGAGATAGAAAAATAGGCCTACTAGTCCACATAACATGACCTCCATGACAATCACTTGATGCAAACTAAATTGATTCAAGGCATATTCTAACAACATACAAGTAATCTTAATAGAGGCCTGATCAATATATTCATCTTTTACAAAAACATAATTTCCTTTTTTCTATTTTTTGGAATAGCTATCACATTATCGGTGAGAAAAGTAAATTAGTCAGCATGAATCATGCTTTAATTGTCTAAGGTTTATAACTGTAGCCTTGTAGGATACATTACCTCTTCAATAATAACGGTCTACATAAAAAAGTAGCGACGAAACAAGGAAAATGTGACACGAGATTTCCTATAAATCTATGCTTTTATATCCAAAGATATTTTGGAAGACCTGAAATTAGATAATTTTAAGGGCAAAACAAACTAAATTCCTAAGGGCATAAACTGTTTAATTTTGGTATAACTTTGATTTTTTGTCAAATCTCTTTAACACAAATAAAAGACATAATTGGACGGTGGTATTACCCAATCTCATGGAACTTTGGTGACTGGCCCACTGTCGGCAACATCTGATCTTTCACCAAAGCAAATTGTAATTGGTATAACTTTGTAATAGTACGTACTATCTTATGCGTTACATGACTTACATCTTACAATATTAATTGTGAATTTAGGATTTTGATTTGGACATGCAACGTCATTGTATTCTTAAATAGTTAAAGGTAGTTGTTCACACGTGTTTAGCCTTATCGAAATTGTATCGCCTTCTTTGAGGTTAGCGGTTAGTTATTTGACTTACTCCGTCACGTATAGTTAGCTTTTAATTAATTGTATTAGCTAGTTTAACAAGCCATTTATATGTGTCAACGAATCTATAAATTGATGCTAGTTATTTGGTTGATTTATGACCCTATATTCCGACCCTATGCTTTATAAGCGTTGTTCGACAAAATGTAAATATAGCGGTAACTATTAGTTGTCAACTGTTAGCTATAATAGTAATTTATACGAAGTATACGTTATTATAAGGAATATAACATATTTCTCAGCCTCAAGTATTAGATTAAATTTTTGGTTTAATTGAAACTTTTAATTATGTGGTATTAGAAGTCAACGTGACAAAGAGGTCATAGATCAATCTCATTTGCTCCTCCTTTGAAAGTGGAACATCTACACTTCAAGCTCAACAAGCTCTTGTATGATGGGGTGTGATGGAATATATATATATATATATATATATATATATATATATATATATATATATATATATATATATATATATATATATATATTATATATATATATATATATATATATATATATATATATATATATATATATATATATATATACAACATATTCTTAAGCTTCAACCATTAGCTTAAGTTTATAGTTGAATTAATTTTTTAACACTCACTCATAGTTTCTTCAAATAGCCTTTTGGGTTCAAAATTCACTCTCAGCCTTCTTTCAACCGATATATAAGGTTTCAGTTAGTTTTTTGTGTTAAATTGTTTTTCCCTAACTCTCAAACAAAACTCCCCTATATTACCTTGTTCGACAATTAGTGGTTCTTAGCATAGAACTGCAATAATCATTAGCAGTTTTTAGTTAAGAACCACAATCACAATTTCCGGATTTGTTGCGAACTAAGTAACCAAGTGAAATTGACTTTGGCATATTTGCAAATTGAAGCCTCATATGCCAATAGCGGTTTTTACTTGTTGCTTGCCCACAAAATCCTTATTTTGAAGCATAGGGTACATGGATCGGACATTATGCTCTTATATATAGAGGTCAAAATCGAATTGATCCGAAAAAAATCATCCGTTTTAAACTGTAACCGATTCGATTTGACCCTAGAAATTCAGGACCCAAATCTGATATGTAACCGACGTGAACTTAATCCAAATCTGAACTTAACCCGACACCGGTTTGACCCGACTTGAACTCAACCTGATTCCGATATAACCCGACTTGAACTCGAAACGAACCGATTTGACCCGAATTGAACTCAACCCGATCCGAAAATGACCCGACAAATAACTGATTTAATCTGATCCCCGAACTAATATTAACCCGACCCAATTTTAAACCGGTCCGATTTTAACCTGATCCAATAACCCGGCCATAATTTTAAACCTATCCTATTATTGACCTTTTTTTTCCAAGTTCTTATACTACTATATATTTACAAATTTACTAATTATTAATAAGTTAGAAAGTCTAAAACTCTAACAAATATCTTATACAAATTGAATTAGTAATAAAACAAACTAATAGTACTTGTAGCCTCATGAAATTAAACAATTGAAGAGTAGTACCTTAAAAAGAGGACATTCTTTTTTGTTTATCACCATATGTGACTATCATCTATCAATCTATTAGTCTATCACTAGTTCATTACTAATCGTCTCACTTATGTATGTAGGTATGATAAGTTATCGATAATTATTCAATTTAAATTTGGCTCCAAGATAAATATTACACAAGAATTGGTTGAATGAAAAAACTAATTCTTCGCATTTCATAATAATTAACCACGCAATTTGAGAAATGGCACATGAATGATTTGATATCGACCCAATAATAAGATAAAAATTCAATAATTACTCTAGTTTAAAAATGACCTTATTTGGATATTGAATTTAGTCAACTCGACCAAAATCTAGATTAACACGGAAATGATTTGAATCGGAATTGACCAAAAACTGATCAACCTTATCTAAATCAAATTGAACTTGATCGAACCAAAATCAACCCGACCCAAATTCATCCGACCCGAAATTAACCGGGTCAAACCCGTTTTGAACCCGATTCGAATTTATCCGAACCAAACATGAACCGATCTGGAGTTGACCCGACCCATATCCGACCCGGACTCGATAGACCATGATCCGAATTTGACCCGACCCGATCCGAATTAAAAGAATAATTTTGACCCAAACATATCCGACTCAAATAAACCCGAGCCGAATAGACCCGATCCAAACTCCATCCGGTTATCCAAATTGACACCTCTACTTATACATATCTGATCTAATAGTAAAGATATGCAATGTAATAATTAATGCATGTTTAAACTATTAAGAATTAGATCATGTTATGTAAACTAAACATATTATTTTCTAAAAAGTTGAAAAAAAATAAATAAATAAAAAATGAAGTATATTACAATGTCCAAACTATGGGCCTCCCTGGTTGCCTTTCTCCCATCTAGGTGGATCATTACTCATCATTTAATCAAAGCTCTAACTTAATTATGAAGAGATCAAATTGTATCCTTGACGTGACAAATCTATATCCATATCATACTTTCAAAAAGACAAAATATATTACCTCCGTTTCATATTTTTTGCAAATTTGGGGTATTATTTGTGAGATATAAAATATTCTAAAGTTGCAAAAAATATGAAACGGATGTAGTAATGAATTTACATTGATTAAGATATGCTTGTATAAAAAAGCAAAATAAAAAATTATGGAAGATTTTGTATTGCCACATGTATTACAAACATAATAAAAGTCTAATCAGTTGCTAAGCTAATCTATGTCTCCATTGTCCAAACCCGTGGATCCACCTGTATTATTGTAACGAATACGGCAAATACAAGTTGGTCTTAATTTCTTAACTTTCAACTGTATCTTTCAAATTAAATAAATAAAGAAACTAACTGTCAAACTGCATGAATACTGGCCTGGCTTTCTCAAGTGGTAGGGAACTCAACAATTCATTTGAAAGTAGAGGCGTGATGCCACGTCTATGGACGTGAAGGCACTCCCAAAATATCATACTAACGAAGTCACGATTAAAGTTGTGTATGGGTTGGTATGGTACAAGGGCCGATTAGGCACGACATAAAATTGACTTGGTCCGACAATAGTTTGTCACAAAGTTGACACGACACAAGAGATATGTTGATGGGTCATGTAGAGGTATCAATTTCAAAAGTTGACATGTTATCGGCATGATAAATCAATAGACATGTCAACTAATGTTACAATTAAGGAGAAACGATAACACGACACAACATGTTGAACAGTTTAGCCTATGGCTATATGAGCTCCTTTTATGAAATATGAGCACAACACAAGTCTAGGATGCTATTGTGCTAAACGGATATCCCTATGACCCACAAAATAAAGTGAATGCGTATCAACATCTATTTCGTCATTTACTCACCCAACTAACTTCCCCTTTTCTATTTTATTTACAAATGGTAATAAGAGAGCTTCTAGATACCAGATATTTAAAATATCTTCTTTTCTTAAGTGGATCAGGAACTTGTGCTTCACAAATTATAAGCCACTAAAAGTTAAAGTGAACTTACATATGAAGTCTTAAAATAGAGGCAATGTAGGACATATTCATAAAAGTCATTTTAAGTTTCATTCAAAAAAAAAAAAAAAAAAACCGTCGGTATGACTATTTTAATGTTTTTTGCCCAACTTTTAAAAATTGTGCTCTTTACGTCTTTATGTTTGTTCCAATTGAATTATTACATAGATTTACATTTGAATAAATATAGAGTAGAAATATACGTAGTAACTATTTAACTATGATTATTAATCGATATATCTTAAATTATCTTATATGAGATCTTTTCAAATTTGTCTAGTTTATGGTTTCATCATATTAACTTTCATAGTTTAAATCAGACAAAAAATTAAGGTAGTAGTATAAACTTGAACTTGGAAAACATTATGTTAGCATAATTAAGTTAGCTTAGGGCCATCATGCCCAACACAAAATGACAGCCCGGCCAATTTAACAATATTGGTAGTTTAGCCAAAGTTTACAGAATTACAGGCCATACCTTCATGCCCTTTGCCTAGATAATATTTTTCTCGTGCCTATGCATAGTGGCCCAATTACAATTGCTTTTTTCGGTAACATTATTATTCCTGGTATTTTATTACAACCACTGTTTTGTAAAACTGGTACCAGTTTAACTTTTGCATTGTTTGTACATACTTTGATGTTTGATCTTAAATTCCTTACTATTATCGGATTTAATATTGTTTATATACAAAAGAAGCCCTCCTTGGGGAAAAATTATTCATACTTATCTGCAAATCATACGAGTATGATCGTATGATATAAGAATACAAACCGACGAGGGAAAATCCTCAAGCAACTACAATCCATATCCCACGAAAATGTACAAGCTAACTCATAAGCAACTATATTGCCCTTCCTTCTTACAAAAATGAACATCTTACACAAGATGGAATGAGTTATCTGGGCTTCTCAGTTGTTAATTGCTTTCACCAATCACCACTACTTCACTAATTGATAACCAAACTCATCTGCTAGTTTCATGCCCACCAAGACTGTCTTTTAGCTTCTGAAATTTGCACACTAAGCACACAGAGCTACCTCACTATCATCCTGGAGTACGACACCAATACTCACCCCAACCAAGCTGAGTAAATCCGCATTAACATTAACCTTGACTCTACCCACAGGTGGGGCAGACCAGCACTTCAGAAGTGCAGAGTAGCAAGAAGGTGCAAAGAAGATTTTGTTGAGATCATGTCAACAATAAGCTATCATTAGCAGCAGTAGCGGAGGGGGTGCGCCAATCATGCTCTCTAACACCCTTGCAACGAGCTCCCCTAACGGCCCAACATAACACCTTAACCTGCTTTCTCATCTCCTCCTCTAACTCCTGAAAGACCTCTAACAGACACCAGCTTCCCAAATTGCTAGTTTGCTACAGCTAGAGGACAGCACAATAGAGCATAATATCCACCCTACGGGTTAGCCCAACACACTACACACACACTCAACATGAAGTTAGCACACTTTTGCAGACTGTTATCATAAGTGAGCATATGCAGTAGATTGTACCTCACAGAAACCACACAAATCCACAGCTCCTCCGAAGTTCTGAGTTTGATCATTGCTGCCCTGAATCCCTGATTTTACTTGACAGTTGACATATAGAATCTCTGTATGAATTACGCTAAATCCTTATAAAAGATGACAAAGGCACAAAGGAGTATTTGACAAGCATCAGATCAATGTTCTAGTAATTCCCCGGGTCAGGTGTCAAATGTGTCATGCATCCACCAATCCCTAACTTGAAATAGTATGACACAATAAACATCGTCTCATTATTCATTTTGAATCCGAATGAGGAATCAAATTTGAATAGTAACTGAACTACTTACTCCGTTTTTTTATTAGATGCATCACTTTTAAATTCACAGACTCCTAAGCAATTTTTGGAGAGGAAAGAGATAGAGAGAAAGAAAAAAGTGGACCCATGTGATATGAGAGAGATAAAGAGAATTTATTAACCAAAAAAAAAGTGATGCATCTAAATTGAAACTTGCAAATATAAAAAGTAATGCATCTAAAATAAACGGAGGAAGTAAAAATTTAGCCTAAAGCTCCAACAAAAAGATTCTCAAATGTGATTTGCTTAGGTTGGTCTACGTTAGGGCATAATGTCGGTTTAACCAAAAAATTGGGTAGAATGTTTGGAATCATGACTGAAGTGTTCTAGTAATCTCAATCAACTATCCAAAAATGCTCAATGTATTCCACTGTAGTCATACGTATAACTGGCGTTGAAATCAAATGATCATATATGAATCACATTTCGTATCAATTGAGTGCTATATGAATGACCATAGCAAATGCTTAACAAGAAGCCACCATACAACAAACAATGCACACCTAGTTGAAAGGTAGCTGTCCTTACATCCATGGACTCGTTGCCCGATACACATTTGCTAATGTTCTCACTTCCATGACATAAGTTGAACTCAGCTTGCTGTGACCTAGTATATTCAAAATTCCTCTTAACTTGAATCCAGCTGAAATCAATGGGATCTTTAACATCTTTCAAGTTTTTGCAACCTTGAATTAAGAAGCTCCAAACCTGTGTAGTGATAATTGATGTACATTTGTGAAATTCTTGAGTCATGTCATCAAAAAACTTATTTTGAGTTTGAGTAAAAATGTAGTGGGACTTAAAGTTATCCATCAAGGAGCAGCCAGGGCAATTAACATCAGGAGCAGCTGAAAGATTTTGCAACTTGCCATTTGCAAAAGAATTCCAATATGGACAGCCAATAGATAGTAAGGACTGTCCAGCATCTATCCAGAAAGTCGCAGCAGAAGCAATCAAAGATGGCTCAGACAGAAAAAGATGGTGAGTTGCACCAGCAAGCAGCAAGCTGTATGCTGCACTAGTTCTGCTCATGTCAATGCTCAAGTGGTCCATTTTGCCACTCAAATTAGCACGCATCTTGTATGTAGAAATCAATGTAGTGTATGCATTCAAAGAGAGATAATGAAAGGGTGACAACTTGACATCTATAGCAAAATCTCCTTTAGTTTGCTCAAAATGTTGATTTAACAGGCCTTCAGAAAAGAGTCCTTCGAGCTTCTCACAGCACGATACAGGATCACCTACCTCCATATACTCCTCTATAGTACTATCCAACACATCACTCAACAATTCAATCGCTTGATCCTTATAATCATTGTCCGGAGTTTTTGAGCAACTTTTGGTAAAATTGGCACAAAACATCTCCTGAAAAAGTAAGACATGCTTTAATCTTTCCTTGGTAAGCATGATTGCTTCTAAATGAAGGAAAATTGACAAAGGCAAAGCTCCAGTGGGAAACTAAGGAGGTGCCACCAAGTTCAAAAGTAAGGCAGCACTATCAATTGTAGAGGCAAATTATAGCACTACATTAGAGAAATTCAAACAAACTACTTACATGCCTATTTGGTAAAACACCAGCAGTTCAACCAGAAAAGTTATGAAACATCCAACTATCTATGACTCAATTAAGTAATTAATTGGTTGACTACAGACAATCCAGGTACAGAGGTACTACACCAAACAACTCTTGCATCTGATTGGCTTATGTTTATAACCATGCTCATGCCTCACACTCCTTACAGCAGCTTTTAATGATTGATACTTGATTATAAAAAGTATGGATATTTTATTTGAAAATTTGTCAAAAATAAGCCAACCTTTGTTCGATTAGCTCAAAACAAGACAACCTTTTGATTAACTAAGAGTAGGTTAACCTTTATAAGATATTATTTTTAATCAAGTCAAGTAACCTTGAACCTGACTAACAAGTCACATTCCTATCTTTTTTATTTTTTGTTTTGATTTTTTATGGGAAAAGTCCTCCACTCCCCTATGAACCACCACCCGCCAGCCACCACCATCAAGCCATCCAGTGATCCAACCACCGTATGTCAATCCTTAAAGATGCAGATAACCGCATCACCCCGGTCACCAGGCCACCTTACCTCGCTAGATATCGACCTCCACTACTACCCGAATTTCCCACTAAACCCCATAACCGTCAATCAAATTTCCTTTCTCACCTTTAATATATGGTCTGCTACCCAAAATCGCCACCACCACCAAAACCGTACCTTAAACTGATCCCCAAATCAGAAATCAGCCTCTCATTTTTCTCTCTCCTCTACCCCAAAAGAAATCCTGGCCGTTCTGTCCACTGTCATTGTGGCTGCCGCCACCACCTGTGTCGCCAGGCACTGGTAATCGTGGTTGATTCGCTGCAATGCAAGTAATAGCCACCTACCCATGCTGCCTCCTTTTGGTCCTTTTGGATGAGGGGGAAGGAATTGGGTTCCAGTGGTTAAGTAGTGCCTCCTTTGTTAATGGTAGCTTTAAGGAGGAGAGAGAAATGGGTGGAGGGAAGGAAGAGAAAGAAGGGGACGGTTGAAGTAGGAGATAGAAAGGAATAAAAAAATAATAATTGAAATGCAATAAAAATATTTTTAAAAAATTAAGTTAAAAAAATTAAAATAAAATTTTAAATGTCAGACCAATAAAATAGCAACACTTGTCATATTAACTTGCTTAACAGGTTTTCAACAGGTTAAAACTCATTCAAAGAAAATACCTCATGAAGATCAACTTATTCTAAGTTAATCAAAATGTTGACTTATTTTGAGCTAACTGAGCAAAGTTTGACTTATTTTTGACAAATTTTCCTATTTTATTTTCATCTTCAGTTCATTTCTAATGATAATCCAGCATACAAATATTACGTACTTACATGCTCTCTCCATACCTAAAGTCATCTTGTTTGACTGATCCTTTAATATTAGAAATTAATGCATGGAATTTGAACCATAAATCGTATATATACATATATTGTGATTTTCATTCTATCCTATCAAATTATAGAACTCAACTTGCACCATTTGTTAGACTGAATCAAATTTTTGGCCATCCATAATCTTCACCATAACAAAATCAACTCATCCCCTTCATAGGTTTAAAAAGCTATTACAAAATGAAAAGAAAAAAACAAATAAACCACTAATCCCTTTGTCATTTGATTCTATTTTTGTGGTGAAAAGCACCCAGTTAGAAATTACAACCAATTTAGATGGGGGTGTTTACTATTTTGTCCATCCTTTGTAACTCATTTGCCCATTTCCTTTGGAACTCCATTAGTCCAGTTATTCCACTCATATTTCACCAAAGGGGTAGTCATCCAGACACAATCTAGCATACTTTCTTCCTAATACCAAACTGTACTGTGTGAAAGTTGACTTCTACAGTTCTACTTGTAGTTGTTACTTTTACTAGTGCTAAAGGGTCACTCCTCAGACTGCTCAGGTTTCCTATTGCCCATTACCACACTAAGTCTTGGTAAACCTGTTCTAAGTTCCACTTGGGTTTCTTCTTATCCACTTCCATCCTATTTTTCTAACTGTCTAAGATTGCTCTTCAAGTAATTGTGTTGAAATTCTTCCATACTAGTGTTGATTTTTTACCACTCACTAACCCAATGGCTACATAGTACATACTCTGTCCTTGATGATCACACCCCCCTCCCCACGGATCTAATCCTCGGTGATAGATGATAGATAAATACCAATCTATATAATCCATTAGTTCGAACATCATTTGCTTACTTTTGGGGGCTTGACCAAAGTAGAAAAAACAAGTGATGCGAAGAAATATCTCCTCACAACAGAGACAAGAGATTTTATGTAAGAGACCATTACATATTTACATATATATTGCATAAGGGCCAACAAAGAGTAGAAACAATATGAAAGACAGAAGAAGTAGATACATAAGCACTCATGTTTCCTGATGCTCCTAGAAAAAAGTACTTATTCTTCTTTTGACAAATGACACACTTGCTACACCAAGCCCTGTTAAGATGGTTACATCATCTATATATAATAGACCAAGACTATCACACTTACATACGTCTAAATAGAGCCATATTGCATGTCCTGCAAAATCCTAAATGAGGCACGACCTAAATGTGTTGGACCCTGAAGGGGTTTAATGACCCTCAGTCCTAACCAATCAACTTCCATTGAAGGGGCCTTAATTTAGAAATAATTTCGTATCTAATGTTATAAAACAAAAACCCTAGATCTGTCGATTGAAAGCCAAATACACAACACCTTCAATCAAGACACTAAAGCATTTGTTTAAGGTGAAGCACTAATCCACCATCTTATTACTCATCAATGGTAGGCCAAGCTGCTTGTCAGCATTCTACCCCAGCTAGATGTAAAGTAAGTCTCCATCCTTTCATCTTCCCTTCTCCTTAATTCTTTACTACCAGCTCCTATTTTAAATAGTTTCTTTTCTCTGATTATTATATCTAATCACCTTCAAAACAAGGTGTAATCCTACAATGTCATGAAAACTGTCAAAACTAAAAGATTTGAACACCTACTTTCATGAGAGTACTCAACAGGTCTTATTATTTTCACCACATACACAAGGTCACTTATTTATTAATCTGACCTTTTCACATAATAATTTTCTTTCACAATTATCACTGTAGGCAATTAGTAGGATTTTAAAGATCCATGTTATGAACTCATAATAAATTTCTGAATTACCCAATGAATCCATGTATCATTGAATTATGCAACTTGAAAATCAGATACATGGCTTTACACCTTTAGTCAATCCTTATCCATAATCCAGGGTAACATGTCTCTACTCGCTAAGGTGAATTTAGAATCATTGTGCACATGCATGTTATTCTTGAGATGATAACTTGGACAAACAAATAATTTTAGGAGTTTGTCTTGTAAATCACGTATACAATATTACAGCAATGTATGAGACAAATTAAATGTAGGTAAAAAGGTTACTGAAAAGGAAATATATACTTCATATGAAAAACGTAAGGAATCTTTAATGATAGTCCACTTGTATAACATTTCGGGTAGCATTTGAAAAATGCAGAGATAACATATGTATACCATTTCATGGACTGGTGATCCAATCGCCGAGGTCAACCAAGCCATACGTATGTTATCTCTCTGATTTGACATCCTTAAATTTCTAGAACCAGTACAAAATGACATGCTCATCCTTAGGCATAACAAAACAAACTCAACAAAGCCATACAAGTTTTATGCAAGTTGTAGCAGCAACTTTTGAAAATAAAAGTATTTCTTGAAAAATAGACCTACCTGCAGAGCATGATCAACATAATCGTGAGGTATTGCGCTACACCGTTTACAACTACACAAGAATTTGTATTCCAGCAACAACTCTGATTGCCTCAGCGCCTACAAAATTGACAGAAAACAATTATAGCACAGATTTGCAAAGATCTAAAGAATATTAGGGAGAAGCTGAGTTCTAATAATTTTTAGAGAAAAAGAGAAGAATACCATGAATCTGCATAAAAAATAAATAAAAAATAAAAAATAAAAAAAGAAAGATAACACGACAAAATACGAATTTTACATCCTAAATTTGTTTATTACTTGTGCTTTCTCCCTCATAAAAAATATTCACATGGTTTTTGTCCATAACCTCTTTGGTTTGGGATTCCTGAAGTGTCAGTCGTAATATTTCAGCTAGTAAAATTGCTTGCGAGTCTAAATAAGGAAGCTATATTTACCAGCAACTTTAGTTTTAAGCATGCCGCATTGTTCAATACATGATGAAATGGACTTTTTCATGTAGTTGTAGCAATTTGAGTATTTAGTACAGAGTAACAATCATCACATGTGGAGACGTGTGCGCGTGTGTGTGGGGGGGGGGGGGTGGGGGGAGGTTTTTTTGCAACAAACCATGGACCACTCATGACTGGAATACTTAAAGGAGGAAGGGAAAGCAGAACCTTGAAGAGCAACACTAGTGGAGCAGCAGTTAGCAGAGCAACAGCACAAATGACTAATGGGCTAGGTGTTGGGTAGGAAGGATCCTTGGTGACTTGGCTTTTGCTGAGTGAATTATGTACATATAAAATGGGCAAGAGGGTCAGGAAATAGGCAGCTTATGTGTGTAGAAATCGGGTAATGAGAGGGGTGACCTAAAGCCACCAATTTTGCCAATTTTGGAGATTTGTAAGTTGTAACCAGAAGTTACGGCTTGTAAGAAATCCTTTTTGCATTAATCAAATAGCCTGTTATTTTCTCAAACATCTCTTAGTATTTCTGTGCTTATGTTCATATTTGTAGATGGTTCATTACATCTTTGTACAGCTGCAGCGGCAGGGGCAGGGGCAGGGATTAGTAATCTCACTATAAGATTGTACCAGAAAATACTCTCGTAACCCAAAATATGCCATTTCTACTCACAAAATCAGAACTCATACGCACTTTGATTAGTAATTTCACTGCCATGTGAAGAGGATACTTCGTTTGAATCCGAATCATGCTCATCAAATAATTTGACACAATCACCAAAACACTATACCAGCTTCTTAGTCAATGTTACATTATCATCAAGGATAAAAACAAGCTACCAGAGGCCCATAGGGGGCGCTGCATTCCTCCAATTATCACCTCATCTCTCTAATAAAATTGATTGTAGGGGCACACGCTTCCATTCCTAATGTTATATCATATAAGCTATCTTACTAGAACACTTCATTTCATCTCAAGGACCTGTGTCAGATCCTTGACACTCCAACATGAGAATATACATTTTGACACTTCATTCTAGGCCAAAAATATGGGAAAATTCAATAAAATCTGAGTCAGACACTTGGACTTGAAACGGTTTACGATACAAGTACCCAAGACAGTAACATAGCATAAGAGAACCTTAACCTGTATCATACATTCACAAAATTACTAGTTTGCTACAGAAAAAAAATATAATAATAAACAATGGAATTCAAGGTCTTAACCTAACATAGGTTTCTGATATATTTCCACCCAATTTCCTCTTGACCTCACACCTTTTCTAAAAACATATCTTCTAGATGATCAAGAACCGGACACCACAAAGAAGTTTCCAGCACTCAGTATTCCAATGCTGCAAGATTATGGAACAAGGTTCCTGCCTTTGCTGATTGATAAAATCTAATATCCTGTTTTGGATCCATGATTACAGCTCAGACCTAGAGGATACTGGGAAGTACTTTTCTTTATAATGTATCTTAAAAATAGCATAATGATGCACAAAACATAGCAAGCTCCTTTGCCACAGTCAACGCTTCATGTTTCTTTACTACAGTTATTCCCTTAATCCTTTCCACGCATGAATAAAACCAACCTATTTTTTTAGAACTCTTCCAAATAAATGAGGGCGTCCATAATTATTATATAACAGCCCATTACTTGCCCATATAGTTTATTCAAAAACCCATGACCCTACCCCCTCTGACCCCTTTCCTGATACCAACATCCCTTGCTAAGATATACGCTACATATAATACTGCCTCTATATCTCCTTTCCTACCCCTTGCTTCATCTATTTAACAAAATGGCTATTCTCCCTGCATCCATTGCATAAGTCTTCCTAGCTTATGTATAAAACCAAAAGCCACTTGGACCAATTAACATGTTTGTGATTTCGTGATTATTGTGTTATAGATTAGTTCAGGAACCTAAAATAAAGTCTTTCAGCATTTTCAATATCATGAAACTGTTTACCCCATCAACAAACCTCCTCAAGGATGCAGGATCCACTTCATAACATACACTCTTTGCCAAACCATCCCATACAACATCTAGGTAGAACAAAAAATGTTGCAAAAGAATATTAATCCCAACCCACATAGTTTATGACATTCTGTTAAAACATAACAAGAGTACCCCTAGGTAAATATCACAAGAATATAAATGATAAAACTTAAAATACAAATATAAACAAATCCTCAAAGTAAGAATTTTTCTTTGTTAAAGAACTGTAGACAATCTCTATAACTTAAAACAGTTTGTATATCTCTATAACTTTCTCCAAGTTTAATCCAGCACTGAAACTGGACAGACTATATATTATCCTTAACCTATTTCGTTATTCTATTATTTGAACTGCAGTATTTGACTATAATGCCAAATACAGTATTCAATTCAGTCATTCATACAGTATTAACTCCCAAATTAGGCATAATTATTAGCACTAACTTAAGACTAGCACTAGTTGCTCCAGCTGCAATGCTAAATTAAGAACATTAAACGCCAAAATGATACGTCATTAATCACACCAAAGTCACAAAGGCACCTACTTTCATTCCATACAAATGCAACATACATAGGAAGGAAAGGTGATCATCAGCAATGTTAGAAGAAGTTTACCGTAGGCCGCAACAAATCGGTATATGTAATTGTCACCTCCTCCCCTCTTTGAATTCCCTTGATACTTCTAACAATTATTCTTGGACCATAATTCCCATCTCCTACATCTCATTCAAATCAACAAAATCAATCTACTTTCTACAATAAACTCAGTTACCAAATGCAAAGCCTTTTGCATTAAAAAACTAACCTTTAGCCAAATTACAAGCAGTACTATCACCTCTATCTTCCATCTGCATATTAAACCACAAAACAACACTATAATTAGACCCCGAAAAAAACACAGCAACACTAACACAAACATCAATTCAAAAACACAAAAAGCAAATACATGAGCTGCATCACCACAAGGGAAAATCCGCATTGCCGCCGACGACAACAAAGAACCACCATTGAAACCCTCCTCCGAAACCGGAACAAACCAGAAACACGAATTCGGAGAACAACTATGATTAATCCAAGAGAAGCAACAATCATAAACCCCAATTCCAACCCTAACACCATTAAAATTAATTTCAACAGCATTAGTAATTACCAAACACAACACAGCCTCCTCCAACTCACAATCAAAATCGGACTCAAATTCGGAATCTCTATCATTTCTCATCGCCCGTGCCATGGCCATAACCCTAGCTCCAACCCTAACCCTAGATAAATCCCTTTCATCGGAATCAAATTTGTCTCGATTAGTGAGGAGACCGAGGAAACGAGGAGAGAGAGGGGGGGAGTGAGAAGGGAGGAGGTGAAGAAGGCGGAGAGAGAGGCGGAGGTCGGAGGAGTCGGAGTGAGGGAAGAGAGAAGGGTTGGAATGTAGGAGAGAGAAAAGGTGGTGTTCGCCGGAGGAGTAGTGAAGAGATGCGTCAATGGTGGAGGAGCAGCCGCCATTAGAGCAGTATTGGATGAAGGTTTCGGATTTCGCGGTGGCGGGGAGAGGGAGGGAGCAGGAGGAGCAGTGAGAGGAGAGAGAAGAATTGTAGAGAGAGAAAGCAAGAGGTGGTAATGGAGGTGTTATGTCTTGTGAAATTGGGATGTTTTCCTTTGCTCGCATTTCCATGCTTTTTTGATTTTCAAGTTTCCCGGGAAATGTAGTTACTACTCCTGCAGTCCTGCTTGTAGAGTTGTAGTTGTACATACCAAGTCTGGACTCTGGAACACGCGTCCGGATACTCTAGAGTTGGAAAATCACAGCCACCCATATAAAATTATAAATCAATGGTTTTCAGAATTCAACCCTCCATTAACTTTTTACTATCTCCGTTTTTTGAGTTTAGCACTATTCACTCACTTCTCATTTATCGTGCTTTGTGCTTTGTACATAATGAAAAATATAGTCGTATGGGATCTTGTTACATTCGTCACGATATATTTTCAAAATATCAACTTTTCATAATTTTTGTTTATCAGTCATTAAAGATATTAATGGTTGAAGTTGTGCATTGACAAACGTGACTAAAGAAACATGTCAACTAAAAAGAAACAGAGGTAAAAAAATTTTTAAAATCACTATTCACCCCAATTACATATTTTACTCGTATTTTATATTTTCACCTCTTTCACTCCATTCTCTCTCATGGGTCTCCATTCTCCTAAATGACCAAAATTCCTCATCGGCAACCTATGGCATTTTTCATCTTTCGATCATCAACAAATAACCATCAAAGTATCACCTGGCATCTAATTAAATCAGATTTGTATTTCTTGAAATTGTAATTTTGGGTGGTTTTATTTTGGTCCAATTAGATAAATGTTGGGGGTTTTGATTCTCTATATAATCTTTGTGAACAATACTTGCGTAAGTGTTGTTGTTGATATATTGTGTGCAATAATACTCGTAATTGTTTTTTCGTCAATTAGAGCTTAATGAGTTTAATTATGCTGCTCTTATTTATAATTAATTTTAAAATTTGGGGAAATATTATCTTCATTTTATCATGGTTAATTAGTTTATACTTGGTTTAGGACCTTTGACTGATTTTGATTGCATAGTACTTAATAGAACTTTTGTTGCTTTCCACCCAATTTATTTTACTTTTTTGATTAAGCTGGTGAATTTTGTTGCCCCCATTGAAATTATGGTGTTCCTAATTTATACTGCAAATATTGTTGTAATTAGTAGAACTTATGTTCAAGTATATGACAAACTACCTTAACTTATACTAGTATGACAAGCTACCTCTCCCACTAGAGGTTACCTACTTGAATTTGGTATGCCACTAATATCTAGCCTATTAACTCAATATGGTAAAGCACTGTGCTAAAGCACACAAGAGAAGTAGGTTCAAATTCTACATAGGCTACAAGATTATGAACAAATGTTTGAGCTGTGATAAAACTAATTGAGATAATTACTACCTTTGTTAAATGTTTTGTGCAATTTTGGAAGAGTTTACTGTTACCAAAGCAAAATTTAAGGGACAAATATTAGGAAAAGTTTTGAAAAGTAATTAAAGTAAGAGGAGAGAGAATATGGGACCCGCACACTTGCAAAAGGGTGGGGAAATCTAATTTTTTCTAGGAGGGAATTGTTTTGCCTCCCATTTTTTTACCAAAAATTCAAATTACTCCCTCTGTTTTTTTTTTTATTTGCATCATTTTCCTTTTATGGATTATGCATCACTTCTATATTTAGTAATTTATACTATATTTTATCATTTCTCTCTCTTACTTTAAACCCCACTCAAATTATTTTATCATTTCTCTCTCTTCCATGGCCCCCACTTAAATAATAAAAATATATATCATCTCTCACATACTTTCTCTTTCATGGTCCCCATCTTACTTTGACTATAATAATTTATTCACCGACTCACAATATTATATTACTCTCTTAAAACTTTGTGCATTCCCAAGTGATGCAAATAAAAAAAACGGAGGGAGTGAATGAATTTAGAGGGGGGTTTAGTTTTCCCTCCGATTTTTTCACCAAAATTTACATAACAATCAAATTTGAATCTGCATTCAAAAGCATTCATACACCATTTAAAAGGCTTATAAATACCAGCCACCAACATCCAAAAGCATTCAATGTTCTACCATTAATTATAGACCAAAGAGAGAAGCAAATTTAGAAATGTTTAATCCAAAAGTTAACACTAACTACCCATGATTAGCCCATATTTACCCAAAAAAAAACTACCCTAAACTACAATTAGTGCTAAAAGTCTTCAATCTTCATCATCTTCATCATCTACCAATCTTCATCACCTACCATATTCACCTAGGGCAGCTTCACCTTCCAAAAAAAAACCAACAACCAGCACTATATCATCAACCCTAATCTGAGGACAAGAGACAAGCCATGGCAGAATTTATTGATGCTCTTTTCTTTGATATTGATTGACTACTAACAGAGGAGATAATGACTCCATTCGAATATGGACAAGATGAGGAAATGCAGGATGAAGACTTGGACCACACAGAAACAGAAGAAGAAAATATGCAAGAAGAACAAGACATTCTGCAACAAGGCACACAATCTGACCACATCCAAGATGAAGTTGAAGATGACCATCAAATGCAAGATATCAATGATTATGCAGGTCAACAAATAGACAGGAAACAACTCACTTTACAGCAAAGAAGGGAAATTGTTGATGCAATGTTGTTGAAAATGCAAGATTCAAGGGGGCACAAGAAGCTTTTATCAGTCCAATTATGAATTCCTATAGTCAGTCCCTTTACATCTAAGACAATCAGAAAGAAGTTATATAGCTACCCTGAAGATTTCTCATGTCACTCTTCATAATTTGAAGAAAAGGGTAAACTGAGAACACACACAAGTAATAACAAGTTTGCACTGACTTCATATCACAAGGTTGCTAGGCTAAAATGGGTTCTGTCTCATATTAACCCAATGACAGCAAATGAAGACCCCACTTTTGTGGACATGAGCAATGTCATACACATAGATGAGAAATGGTTCTATCTCAATCTTGGGAAGAGGATATTTTAACTCATTTCTAAAGAGGAAGATCCATACAAGGCACAACAATCAAGGAGGTTCAAGTTAAAGGCAATGTTCATGACAATCATTGGCAAGCCACTATATGACACAAATGGGGAGTTACTCCATGATGGGAAGTATGGTATCTTCCCATTCACTGTCAAATAGAGAGCTAAGAAGTCAAGTAAAAACAGAGTGGCTGGCACATGGAAACAAAGGCACTGCAAAATGTGAACAAAGAAGTCATAAGGGAGATGCTACTGATCAAGGTCATACCAGCTATTGTGTCAAAATGGCATCCATGTATGCCTAAAAATGTGATCATTCAGTGGGACAATGCTAGGCCACACCAAGTTCCCAGAGATGAAGAATTCATAGCAGCAACAACAGCAAATGGATTCAACATTCAAATGGTTTTCCAACCAGCTCAATCACCTGACTTGAATGTGTTGGATTTAGGGTTGTTTAGGTCAATTCAGTCTTTACAATATCAATCTTTTCCTAGCACTCTAGATGAGCTAATTGAGAAAGTCATTGAGTCATATGATACATTCAATACTAAAGTGAACAAGTACATTTGGGTGACTTTGCAGAGATGTATGATCAAAATTCTAAAGGCTCAAGGTGGAAACAAGTACAAAATACCACACATGAACAAGAAAAAGCTTGAAAATCTAGGCATTCTGCCAGATAAAGTTGAGGTGAAGAAGGAAGTAGTGATGGAGGCTGTGGAGTATCTAAACACTATGTTTAGGCCAACAACTCAAGGAACTCAAGATGCAGCAGAAGAATGGAGGTTGATGCAGACTAGGGGATACATCAGACCAAAGCAGAAGCAGAAGACCAGAAGAACATGGACTGCCACACATAACCACTTAACTTTTTTTTTCCCTTTCTTTTCTTTTATGTCCGTGTTAATGAAAAGGTGGTTAGGTGTATTTTGTTTATTAAGGTGAACCAAAATTCTAAGGCAGTCAAATGTATCAACTTTTGATCATATAATGGTCCATATGTAACACATTTTGAATGGAATGAAAAGCAACATCATTTATTTGGAGTGGACAAAAAAACCCATTAGAATAATCATTGTTTTTTTTTAATACAATACTTCAACACAAGGTTACCTCAACAACAACCTCAGTACAGAAATTGTTGGAGCAGGACTCTTGTATGAAGTGAAATTCAAAAGAGCCCCTTCATCATTTGGATTACCAACTAACAATCAAGCCAAGGGAATGGGGGACTCATTTGTTCAATGTCACAAAGCACATTTATTGGGACTACTTGGTGTATAATTAGAGGCAACATAAGAAGGGACTCATTTATATACAAAATCAATAAAATAAAGGGACTTATTGTGTATCAAACAGTTCTCTCCACAAATGATCATTGAGAACATCATATGTCGACAATAGTGCAACAACACAATAGCAAGCAAACAATAGCATCATCATTCATCAACCAAATCCACCTCTGTACCATCCATCAGTAGTCTAACAACTTAACAACGCAAAAACTCAATAAATCCAACAACATTCACATAGGCAACAACAACTAAATCCAACACGTACAGAAACCCTAAATTCCATCACAGTCAGATAAAGAAGCACCCAACATCATGAAAACATACTCAACAAAAGAAATCACCACAATAGGTAACCAGCAAAACCAAGAGGGACTCATACCCAATTTTAAACATCAATCAACATGAAACATGCTAAAGAAACAAAGGTAAGGGACTCAAAATATTTTTAAAGAAGTGTTAGGGTTAGAGATTGTTACACAAGCAGTCACTCAGAGGGTTGAACCTTAGGGTTCATCCTCCTCACATAGTGCTATAAACAAGGCCCGGAATGTCAGCAACTTCAACGGGGGGAGCAGTGGTGTCCTGCTTCTTGGAAGGAGGGGATGAATCCTCCACTGTCTTTGGCTCATCGTATGAGATTACAATAATCTCAGTCGAGTTAGCATCCAGACCACGGATTTGGCGCAAAGCCACCAACGCTGCCTTCCTTATAGTCCGGATCTTAGTGGGAGCCCTTATAGATCTAGGCTTTTTGGTTGGGACAGAACTCCCCTCACCACTTTCAACACCAAGATCTACAGATTCCTGGATAAAATTAAGCGATTTCTTGCCACAAGACTCACCCTCACCCTCAGCCCTCTTCAATTGCTCTTCCTCAGTAATGTTTTCAAGAACCTTTCCCAAAGCCTTGTAAGTGTACTTAGTACAATAGGGACCAGGTTCACTCAATTCATAGAACTGGCGAGGAAAAGGAGAGTTCGTCTCAAAGGACTGGATGAGGCATAGAATCAAAAGACCCTCCTACTCAGAATCAGTAGCAATATGCGCGTCGTGGAGAGGTTCAAGGTTAACCATTGTGTTGGGGGACTTGATTTATCAAACAAATGAAGAGACAAGGAGAGATCTGGAGTGAGAGATTGCAGAAATCGAAGATGGAAGAGGAGTGAGAAGGTAGAAGATGAAGATCTAGGGTTTATGATATGGAGAAATCTCCAGAAGATAAGGGGAGCCATAGCAATTAATTCTGGTGGTTAGGGAAATGGAGTAATGGTGTTAGTTGGGGGGAAATGAGGAGATTTTTGGTGGGAGTCATTAGATTAGTGAAGGTAGATTAGTTTTAAGTTAATCAAATTAAAATAAGATAAGGGCAAGTTTAGAGGAAATCTGAAATTTAAGTAAGGGTATATCTCTCTTTTTAAGCTTTTTTATTTACTAAATTAGGAAAGAAAATGAAAAGTTGCACATAATGTTTAGCATCCGTTTTTGGTAAAAGTTGCACAAAACATTTAACGGAGGTAGTATTTAAAATGAGCATATGTATAAATTCATAATTATGTATGATTATATAGAATAAAAATACGTGACTCTTTCTTCATCAAACTTGTACCATGAGCTTCAACTTGTAAAGCAACCTAGGGGCCTTAAGCATCATAGACCTACATCCATGTAAAAAAAAGTCACTATGTGAACTCACGCACAACTTGTACTACCTAAGTATTACACAACTTGTACAAATTATATAACATTTAATATACCTGACCAGTCTACATTTGACATGTCGCTAAAATAGGTCTGAGGATTGAGCTCTGATGGGCGTTGGAACGGTCGTACATTCCACACTCAATCAAACACATTTATTAACAAACACCTTACAAACCAAGCATAATGACAAGTAAGAGTTCGGTCCACAAGGAACGGGATATGATTGCCAAAGATCTTTACACTTAAGCTAACTCGAAGTCAATTGGTGAATCGGGGTTCGTCTAGAAGACAAACAAACTATGGTTCTAAATCAATGAATTAAAGATACTAGGGAATGAGATCCACTCAACCAAGGCAAATAGGCAAACGGGGAGTAAAATAGACAAGATATAGCAAGGACTATATGTAAAATCAACCTCATGCAATTAGAAAACAACTCACACTACTAAACTTAGATTCCTCATTAGTTTAGCAATAGATGATACATAATCAAATTACAATAAGTAATGACGTACTCAATTTACACTTCCATGTCAAATTAGGCATATCATACTATCAAGCTCCTTAGTCAAGGGTAGCTAAACCTATCATGAGGAACTAACAAGCAATCTCATATAATCAATTTAATTGCAATTCAAACATCAATGCTTCTCCCACATTTGCATAGTTAACCCAAAAGGTCAAGCTTCACCCAACCCCTAGCAAGAAGACTACTCACAACTCATGTTTATCAACATGCAATCAAGAATTAGGGTTCTAAATACTTCAATAATTGGGGAAAAGTGGTTAACAATTGAAATAACTATCATCCAATAACAAATTACCAAGAACTAGGAAGATTTAAATAACATGCAAATACCAAATAAAATCTGAAATTAAAAGGAAGAAGGTTGGAGAAATTACTAATTGAAGCTTCAAATGTTGAATACAAATTGCCAAACTTTGAGAATAATTCTTGAATTTCACTAATACAATGATTTGATTTGATGAAAACTAAGCTAAATTAATCCTAAGGAATGTTTCAAACTAAGAGAGGTTTTTTGAAAACTAGGCTACTGTCCCCCCCTTTTCTAAATGAGCTAAAGGGGAAGTATTTATACTCCCCGAAACACATAGGGAAATCCGTCAAAAGAAAACGGATTCCCAGCGAGGAGCGCCCGCTCCACAATGAGGAGCGCCCGCTCCTAAGCTGGGAGCGCCCGCTCCTTTCGGCTGCACGCCCTCTCCAGAATGCTTCAATGAAGGATCAGATTTGAAAGTGTCAGGGAGGAGCGCCCGCTCCTCACATGATGCACGCCCGCTCCCCTGTTCCAGCAGCATGGGCAGATTCAATCTTCAAAGGGAGTAGCGCCCGCTCCATGAGAGGTGCACGCCCGCTCCTAACAGCACCTGAACTTGGGCAGAATGTGGCTAGAGTCGAGGAGCGCCCGCTCCATGAGAGGGGCACGCCCGCTCCCCTGGAGCGCCCTCTCCAATCTTCAATCCTCTTGTCTTAAACACGATTCATGCACCGAAAGCCTGCCTAATTGAGCTCATAGACCTGCAAAACATGGACAAACACAAACCAAGAGGGGGGGAAAGCCGAGAAAAAACATTTTCATTCAAAATTGGGTTAGAAAGAGGGGAAATGATCGCAAAATCGGGTTTAAATTTACACAATAAGTGGTCAAATAAACCACTTATCAAGCTCAAGACTATAATATTGTACATTCATAGCCTACAAAATTAGAGAATGTAATAGTGAAGATTTTGAAGGGAAAAGTGTAAGTTTAGTGATGTAGATTTTGGTGGGAAAATATGCTAAGCAATTTAGGCCCCTATTTATGTAACTGTTTTTTTTTTTTTTTTTTTTTTTTTTTAAATGGAGGCTGACAACCATGATTTATATGGTTGGCTGTGATTTGCCCAATTCTACCATGTAGAGTTACTTTCTAATTCTAGAGGATCCGGACGCCTGGAACACTATTGCTTGTTGGCAGGGCTAGAGCCCCTTCCGAAGGCTCTTTTGTCAGCGGTTATCAGGTTGGGTTTTTTTTTAACACACCTAGGCAGGGGCCAAGGCTTCTTTAAAGTTTAAACATTTTGATGGCTCTTAGACAAATTGAAAAGTAAAACATCTTCCTCCGTATTTGCTAATATTTGTTTATATATATTAAAATACGGAGTAGAAAAAAAAATGGTCAAATTGAGACATCCCATTGTTTCTAAAAGTTCTTCAATGGTTCATGTTTGCCAATATAATTTTTATTTATTTATTTATTTATGAATGGTTTGTCAATAATGCATTATTGTGACTGTAAATATATTTAATTTCATATTATCATTTTAATTACGCGGCAGAATAACCCTAGACCATAAAGAAATTCGACCTCTATAAGAGTAGTAAACGTAAAACACGACAGCACAAATTGTGTCTGTAAGATCCGGTGGAAACAATGCAAGCTACGGTTATTTTGATTAATCATGAACTAAGAAGGGAACAAATCGTCTGTAAGAGCTGGTTGAAACAATGCAGATTACAGTTATTTTGACTAATCATGAACTAGGTAGCGTATTTGTTGTTTTCAACAATAACTCGGGCACTCACTTTAAGAGTTAAGTTATTAGCATAAGATGATAGGGATTGTGAGGTTTGAAATTAGAACAGGATAAATATAATTCCACTCCTTCAGCAGGCATCCGATTTCGTGTTATCCGTAACAAAATCAATCTTAAGAAAAACGAACCAAATTATTAACCAACCAACAGGCTAAAGTATTATACATAGAAGTTGGTCCCCAAAACATTAATTTGACAAATTAAGCTATTGATTATTCTATGTAACCACAAGAAATTCAATCTCATTCCACAAAATAAATGCTGAGATATCATGATATTTGTCGATTTTTAGTTTTTAACATAAACCAAAAAAATATCTAAGCTGGTTCATGGGTACAATGTATAAGACAATAATTTCATTTCTCTGAATCTCAAATGTAATTTCCTCTTTTTGAGTGTATCTTGCTAGATCAAAGGCAACAATTACGTGCACATACAAAGTTGCCAAAGAATCACTATATATCAGGCGAATCTCAGAATCATGATTTTACTGCCAAAGAAGTCTCAATGCGTTGGATTAGCTTATCTGCAGGCAATGCACCTTCCTGTATTTATCAACAGCATACAATGCAAAGTGTTATATAATCAGAGAAACTACAAAAAAAATTGGAGCTAAGGTCCACAGTAAAATGCAGCTGTATAGGCCTAAGGCCAAAGCGATTTTATGTTGTAAAACAAAACATAGTAGCAACTCAACATCTAATTTAAATTATTTTAAATAAAAAAATTTATAGCAAAATTTGAATCAGGGTGCAGAGCAGTCAGTTACCAAAATACTAAAAATAATTTTCTTAAATTTAAAAATATTCAAAATAGCAACAACTCAAGTACACAATGGTAGACTAACATCCAAGCTGCATATGAAATGGGAAAATATCAATTTCTCCCCCAATCATAATTTTAGGACCATACATAATTTTTGGGTTTAACTCCGTCAGTGGGTTTTCCGCAACCTGTCCCAAGCTTGGATAAAGGAGAAGGGATACGGTAGGCCAGTGACAACCACTGTAAAACTTTGTCACATCGCTTGACATGAGTCACAATGACTGAGAGTAGTACTAGGATGGGTGACCTCTTAGGAAGTCCTCATGTTGGTTCATATAGCCGACCCCACTTATGGGATTAAGGTGTTCAAGCAGAGAGAGAGAGAGAGATTTTTTGGGTTTCCTATATTATTTGTTTTATAAAAATGGTGCTGCAATTAACATGCCCTTTAAGCCTTGCAAGAGTTGTAACTATTTTTTGTCATTAGCTTTCTGTTAAAATTGGTGGAGAAAAATAAAGAGAATGATAACCGAGATTTTATGTGGCAAACCTCTCCCTAGCCAAACGAGAAGGAAAAAAACTCACAAACTCGACACTAAAATTCTTTGAGCAACTTCCTTTAGTTATCAACAACAGCATTTACTAATACCTCCCTTAACTGGGTTCTCAAAGTGTTTGTAATTAACACTGGATTGTATCTCTCAACTGAGCACCCAAAATAATGATTCCCAAGCCTTCTTCATATAGAGGATGGAAACCTGGACTCTACTTAACTTAGGAAACTATTCTAGCATCTAACAAGATCTAGAATACAATTAACATCAAGAAACATAAAATTCTATCCCAAACTAATACGGAGTAAGTAATAACAATTAATTAGAAAGCTATCTCTTAGTATCCTTATACAACTAAGCTAATGAAACTATCTTGTTTCTGATTGATCTTACATTTTTCTATTTTAGTCTGATCTGAAAGATTTTAGCACTTTCACTTTATTTCATTTTTAGCAAACTCTTTTTACTACATTATCCTTTTACCTCGAAATATCTTTCATCTTTCCACTCACTCTATCTTACTTTATCCACCTTTTTTCTTACACTTCACATACGGAGTATTTACACTCTCACTTATTTACACTCCCAATTTTGTAAATTTGTGTATATAGTAAATGATAAGATTAAACTGAAACAGCAGTAATTCGCAAGGAAAACCAGCAAACCACAACTTCCTTGCACCACGCAAAGATATAGGCTGCAGCATCCATTGCAGTCTCTATCGCGGCGTTACCCGCAATGCTATTGCATTGTTTCTTGCTTCACTTACTTTGTTCCTTCACAACTGAATCAGAAACCCACCGCATGTCTTGGGACCCATTGATGTGTTGACTTTTAACCTAATAGTTTCTTCATTCTACATTTGGGTGCTCCCTAATTCGAGAGCTACAACCTTCAAAGCTCTATATTGTGAAACAGAGAGGTAATCTTTCTGGAAGTTCCACATTTGTCACATCTTACACGAATCACACCAGTCTACCCAAAGATCAGAGTGACACAAGCAAGGTCTAAAAAACTGCTAAACATACTCTGCTACCTCCCCTATTCTCAAGTCCCTATAAGATCTCAAACCCAAGTTTCAGACCTGGAATTCAGAGGCAGCACCAACTGTGCTGACCTCTTGACAGCCAAGTGACGGCAGACAATGTTGATGTGCAAGAAAGGCCAATTGACCAGATTGGTAAAAAAAAAAAAAAGACCCCTAGCGACAATTTGGTATAAACACTTACTCCGGCGACAATTTAGGAAAAAAAAGTTAACCCATATACGACAATTTGGTAAAAACAATAAACTCAAGCGACATTTAGACCAAAAAATCTAATTTTTTTTCGACAAACTCATCAAAATTCTTAATGTAATCCATATTTGTGTTTTTAAAATTTATTTTCCCTTTTAAAATTTTGAATTAATAGATCATCCGCTTTTTATTTTGCAAAATCCCGATACCAAATTTATTTCCAACCCCTTTTTTAAAAAATTACGTTAATAAGGGGTAGGAAAATAAAGTTAAAATTAATATTCAAAAAAAAAAATTTCTTCAAATTTTTTTCCTTAAAAAGGGTTGGTAAATTAGGTGGAAAAAACGAGCTAAATCAAACATTCGCGAGTAGTTTGTCGGAAAATTTTGTATTTTTTGGGTTAATTGTAGCTTGAGATTATTTTTTTTACCAAATCGTTGCTTGGGGTTAGCTTTCTTAACCAAATTGTCGCTAGCGGTCTTTTTTTTTACCAATCTGGTCAAAAGGCTGTGAAAGAAATCTTAATGATTTTTAACAACAATTAAAAAGTGAACGTTCCAATAAAAACAATAAGCATAATTGACTTACAAAGCGATCGCAAGGTTTCCCATCCTTGAATAGAATAAATGTAGGCAAAGCCTCAATCTTGTACTTGTCAGCAATTTCTGGATATTTCTCAGTATCAATTTTAACCACCTGGATTTTGTCTTTCAAAGTGGTATTCACTTGTTCAAGAATTGGAACCATAAACTGACAAGGACCACACCTGCATCAGGACCATCACATTAACTTCTAATGAAAGCTTTTCTACACAGAAAAAGTAATATGTTCCTGCACATCATGAAGTCCCAAAACAGATAAATTTAACGTAAAATATACCCAAGATTTCATCTCGATGGAGAAACACGTCAACTACAAGTACATACTTACAAGAGTAAGATTTAGGAGTTGAAAGAACTTCTATTAAAAGTGTTGTAATTTTAATGTAAGATATTCTCTTTTAAAACTGCTATGCTTTTAGTGCAAGAAACTTGAGGGGTGATTTCTCAAATTGGATAGTTTTCTGATCTCAGAAAGCATTCAAACTAAAGAAATTTGACTTTCAGATAATCTGACAGATTACAGATCAGAAGTACACACCCCCCCCCCCCCCCCCAAAAAAAAAAAAAAAAAAAACAAGTCCATTAAATAAAACCAGATACATCTGAAGTCTCAATAATTAAGAATTTTGGTTCTACTCAGTTAACAAGATACTGTCTAAGAAAAATGCTTTAGTTAAAAATTTTGGTAGTAAAAGCGTCCAGGCAATACACCTTCATAAAAATCCAAGCAGGCATTTTGAAACTTTTTTGTGGATCTGAGACTTGTCAATCTGGAGCTATCAATTGTGTCAAAAAAAATATCCTTTTATTGCTTTTGGAGGGGTATAAGACAATACATGAAGCAACAAGCAAGGCCAGCTATTGTCTTCAATCCTTACCAGAACATTTCTTCTTACTCAAAGAGAGCAAAAGCAAGTTAGGCATAATTAAAAAACCTAAGAAAATATAGAAATCAATCACAATGAAGAGTAAAATAAATCAACTTAAGTGAAGTAACTACCATGTAGCGTAGAAGTCAACTAAAACTGGTTTGTCAGAATTGCTGAGCAACTCATCAATGGTAGTAAATGTCTGCTGCTTTGCTTGTACCTACAGATTTGAAGACCAGATTTCCTTAATAAATATAATGCTTATGCGCATTAAAAAATCAAAAGTGTTGCAATTAGTTTCCAAACATAAGAAACAAGCCAATTAGAGGACACATAATAAAGTGCTTTATTATGGACTCCTCCCCTCTCCTAACTGCACATGTAGGTTCCATGAATGATAAGGAGAGTGTTCATGATTCCATAAAGTCATCAGCACTTACAAATAAAAAAAATAAAAATGGAGTGATCTCTTATAAGGATGAGATTGCAGGCGGTGACAGGTCAACAAAACTAGCCACAATGTAAAAAGTGAAAGACTTTCCATTCAACAAAGAACATTAGAGTATAGCCCATATTTCATATTTTCAATGGGATTAGTAGTATGAATCTCATCCGAGTTGAAAACCATCCTTTACAACCCAAAATAAATTCCCACATACAAAGTCCCGGACCTTTACATTGGGCAGTTTAAATTTTATGGGCACCTTTGACTAAAGACAGTCATGTTGAATTAAACACAAGCAAGGGAGGGATGTTGGATTGGAAAAGTAAGGCTTAGCAGGTGAATTTCCAAAGAAGCTCTTTTAGACATAACCTACCAGAGAAAAAAGGTATTTGAGTCAGGTCCTTCATCAAATAGGCAATAACCTTGCCAACTATGTTAGCATGAACACAAATAAAAGGCGACATATAAATAAATCAAACTTTCGTAATCCATATATAAAGCAGCACATTTGCAGCTTTATACAAAAACAACAGCGATAGATCACTCTCTCTAACTTGTTGAATTATGTAAATTTCTAATGAACTGAGTTAACAAAAAAACAAACTTCAACATTATGATAAATAGTTAAGCAACAGAAACCCTCCCTCTCCTTGTATACGGTGTTCAGTGGTTTACATTAAATCCTTACAAACTACTCATATTTTTTAACCTTCGTCAACACGCTCAAGGAGTTCAAAATTCAAAAAAATCTAAACCCAAGACATATGCTGTCTACAATTCAGCCTCAACCATTATAACACCTTCTCCAAAGCATTGACACGGAGAGCATAACAGAGCTGAAAACTAAATGGCAGATGATAATTTTTACGGTTAGATGAGCAAACTGAAATCAAACGCCTAAACTTCAAACAATGGTGGTTTTGAGTCACCAAAAGTAAATCATAAATCACTGCCAAGAGTATCAACAAAAGGTGCTCATCATATCATCTCCTGCCAACAAAAGGTATACATCATCTCCACCACATTAACTAAGAGCATGTTTGGTAAGAGTATTTTAAGGGTTGGAAACGGATTCAATTAAACCATTACCGTTATCAAATGTTTGGTTAGGTGACTTGGGTAACAATTATCATTACCTAAGGGTAATGGTTTCCACCCATTTGTTACCTCTCTAAAACCTAATATAACAATTACCCTTACCTCCTCAAACAAAATAAAGAGAGTTAGTTTTAGGTGATTCATTTCCATGTTTATACCAAACAAATGAAAAAGTAACGGTAAAATGATTCCTTTCCTTCTCCTTATTTATTTCCTTTCCACTCCATTTTCAATTATTATACCAAACGCCCCCTAAGCCTAATTGATGAAGCACAAAAGCCTGATACTTTGGACAACATTTGAAGTCACAGACAGGCGAAGATGTTCCAGTCCGTAAGGATCGAGGAACAACATACAGTTAACACCATAATTACTAAACATTGCGTCACCTAAGCAGCTAAATATCAGAAATCCTAAATCTTTTTCATTCCACATTAAAAGATTGAGACAATTTCAAAATTCAGCCTATTTCAAATTTTCAACATTTTCCTTTCAAATGACAAACCTTCCAACCCAATAACCAGATGTCAACATGTCATTCAATAAATTGCAACATTAGTTCTATAAGGTTAAACTCAATTATAGGAAACCTCTCCCCAATAATCTGTATGTACAAATGGTCATCTATTAAAAAAGGATGTATGAATATACTGCCTTCGTCTGAATAATTTTTTTTTTTTTTTTTTTTGACGGGTTCATCTTAGTTGTCACATTATTAGTTCAAATTATAAAATCAATATAGTATTAATTCTGAACGGAAGGAGGGTACAATACTAGCATTCTGCACCACCCCGCAGAATAATATAAATCAAATTAAGTGGAAATTCATTAGTTCCCAAAAACAAAAATTGATTAATATTAAACCCTAGAGATCCAAAAGAACTTAATTAAGCCAAAAATAAACACCAATTACAATCAAAACGCGAAAAAAAAAACATAATAATTGCAAACACCAGCAATTAAAAAATTAATATTACCAGAGGAAGAACTCTAACTCTGGAAGGTTGATGAGAGAGAGAGCGAGAATTTCCAATACGAAGCTGACGACGAAGCTGGCATGGAAATTGTTGTTGCAGAGAAGACAAAGAAGAAGAAGAAGAATACTTATTAGCAGTTCTTGTTGTTATTGAAGAGCAAATGAAATTGCAGGAATGGTCGGAGGTTAGGGGTGAAATGGTGGTGGAAGGTAAGGAAATCGCCATGGCAGGAGCAATCGAGGTTTTCTAGAGGGAGAAAGAAGAGAGAGAGAGTTGGGGAAACCCAGACGTTGAAGATGACGATGTATAAAAATGGGTAGTTGATGTTGGAGGGAGTCTGCGAGGATGATTTTCCTTCCTTTGTGAGTGAGTGAATGAATGTTTATGTACAGGTGGACACCAACCTTTTTTTTTTTTTTTTTTTTTTTGTTGCTGTTGTTGTTGTTAAAAAAAAAAAAAAGGATAAAATATAAATTATAATAGAAACACACATTCGATTAGGATTTACTCAGTTAAGGGTTACTCGGTCATTACCCGTTCAGTATTTTAGTGTGTGTCAGCTTGCCGCATGGTGTGTTAGTCACACCAAAAAAGCACGGTAAGTGAAAATGAATTAAAAAAACAAATAATAAAAATTATACGAAGTACGATGTAAAAAGTTTCCAATTTTTTGAAGAAATTCAATTGGTTCTCTTAAATATACAAACAATGTAATGTTTTGATCTTATCATCTTAATTAGACATTGATTTATATGTGTATATTAGCCATGAACTATTACTCCGTAATTCTGTATGTTACAAGAAACAAAATAAATAAGCTTGCAAATATTACTATTTAAAATACTCGTATTAAAGTGAGTTGAATCCCTAATCACCTTAAGTTAAGGTTTTGTCTAACCAAAAAAAAAAAACTTTTTTTTCCTTAACAGAGCCGTAAAACAAGTGATTTGATCTTAATTTGATACTAGGTCTTGGGTGCCACCTCCCGACATATTAACCAAGTTAATTGACATTTTCATAAAAAATATAAAAACAAAATAAAACAAAATTAAATAAATTAAAACAAATTCTGTCATTTCTTTAAAAAAAAAAATAGTTATGTCCAAAATAAACTTATTTGTCTATAATATTGTCTTACAAAAAATATTTAATTCTAGTGGGAAAAAAAAAAACTTATTTAGTCTAAATTAATTTAAACTTAGTTAATATACATTTCTAGACTGAATAAGAGAAAATTAATCGAACATAACAAGGCCTAGTGTCTTGCAATAATGCATCATAATTCATAAATCACAAGTTAGGTGCCAAAAGCACAGTAAGGAGTACAAGCCTTATCTTCTATTGCCCCATTCATCAGTTACAAATTCTGAGAAAATGTCTCAGCTTCAACTATTTTAGAAAATGTTTCATCTTATAGGAATACAAAACATTACAAGCTTTTAAAACTGGATCTGATGAATGTAGCCACAAGGATGAAAGGGGGTATCATAGCACCTATATGTGAAACAAGACTGTGAGTTGATCTCTATGAATACACTACGTCTAAAATTGCATTCAACTCTCACACATAACAGCTTGCTACAAATGTAGGAGAAAAAGAGTGGCGAAAAATGTTACAGAGTTGATCACGGCCGCTGGTTGCAGCAACAGATCACCCATCACTAGCCCATATTAAGGTGAAAATAATGATTGCAAAGGTGGAGATAGTAGTCACCAAAGGGAATAACCACATAATCTTACTACTTACTCCCTGTCTTTCCTGACTTCCTAACTCAACTTCATTCAGAAGTTTCTGCACTTCCTGTATGTCGGAATCTTTAGCAGCCTGGATTAGCTTACCTTGTATCTTTTCTAGCTTACTAAGTCTTTTCATTCTAGAGACATTCTGAGATGACCATATAAAACCTGTCATTTTCCACAAGAGGATACCAACATAGATAGCTACAACACAATCAACACTGTAGTGATGACGCTCCCTGACTTCTCTCTGAGCACTGTGCAGGACTAAAAGCCACACGAGGGCTGAACTAAAACCTCCATAAGCTTCCTGCATTAATTATAATCATTCAATAAAGTTCATATCCAGCAGTTATATTGTGTACATTAACATGGTAAGGGTCAGATGGAACAGGGATTGAGAAACAAAAGGAGACTAAGCTACTCAGTACTTCTGAAGGTTGAACTTTAGAACTATTTTTATAAGCATCTAGATGATGTAACAAAGCAAAATTGGCCACCCATGCTAAACGCCATTTTGCAGATATAAAAATTATAAATTAACAAGGAGCTGACCCTCTCAATTTATTTTCTTTTTAGGTGCAAATAGCCCTCTCATTTTGTTGTCTTTCAGGTCTGTTAAATTAGTTCACTTCCCAGGAGAAGAGTATTATAGAACTGTATATTCTATGAGAAAAAACATACAATTGTAAATTACAAGGGTAAAGAAAGTGACCATCATACCGTCCAAGCCATGGCTGTCAGTACAGCAATTAGCATGTGGCCACTGTAGACTAGGTCATTGCAACCGCCTCCAGCCTTCTTCAACAGAGGAAACCATGAAGAGCCCTCAGCAGGAGTTGGGCGCAGAAAATCGATAAGAAAGCTCATTGAACCCCAGTCAGGACGGTAGTCACCAAGTAATTTACCAGGATCAGCTACAAGACATTAAATTGAATTTAGACTGTCAGCAGCAACTTACCTTAAAAGATAATGACAAGGTTGAAAGAATTTGAATACACAAGCCATGTCTTCTAACTTCATATCTGATCTACATCAGCAAAATTAAACAACCACTGACCTAGACTAACACCAAGATGGCAAGACCCAATGTAACTTAAAAGCCGGTCATCATAACCTGATAATGATCATGTTTCATTTTATAGGAGAGTTCACATCTAATGTTCCAATACCCTCTCCCCTCTTTTGTTTTGGCCGAGTTTCCCTACCTTATAAAAAGTACAAGATCTCTTATGAATAGTGTGCTGCCAATTATACCCTTCAAAATGTGTATTTACATGTTTACCCTCATTAATATGTACAAGTTTTTTTTTTTTTTTTTGCCTTCATTAATGTTAATTGCTTTTTTTTTTTTGGAATTATTTAGATTAGTGTGCAGTTATTTACACCCTTAAAATATTTGTTTACATATTTTCCCTCATTAATGTAACCAACAACTAAAAAAATTCATCGAACATGGCTATCTGTGGCACCAACAACTAAAAAAGCTCATCGAACATGGCTACCTGTGGAGCGCGCATTAGCCACCCTAGTATACTTGATAAGTGTGATAGGTATAAATGGATCAGCATGTATTGCAACATTTACGATAAACAGCCAAGACAAATGAATCAAAGCCATTATTTGTCATTTGCAGTAGCTTTTGATCCTGCATAATAATAAGGGTTGACTGAAAATAATGCACAAGATACATAGAATTATGGGTCACAAAATTTATCCAACTTAGACCACTTGGAAAATGTAAACTGTTAGACTTAAAGCCATGTAGAAAAGTGTTCCTAGGTAAAAGAAGAGGAGGGACAACATGTCCTAGGTAAAAGAAGAGGATGGACAACATGAAATTTGACCAAGTAATGCAAAATAGAAGAACGGAGGAATAAATACGACAAAAGTGGACTCACCATAAGCATAATCCTTATTTACTGAACAACATGAATTTTGACCAAGTAAATGCAAAATAGAAGAATGGAGGGATAAATATGACAAAAGTGGACTCACCATAAGCATAATCCTTATTTAATAACTGACGTATAGCATTTGCATCAGAAGCATAAGGGACATAATATTTTTGTGCCCAACGATGAGGATGCCCAGGAACTTGAAAGCGAGCTGCAGCACACCAAGGCCGTGCTGATGGAAGAATTGTTGATGCAAAACTTAAGGTCCGCAAAAGACGGCCAATTGCCATTGTGAACACGTACCTTGCTCCAAGCCCAAAGCCAGGGGCTTTTACAGAGTCAAACAACACAGAGAAAGCAAGCATAATAAACAGCATTAAGAAGTGATGCAACCCAACTATGTGTGCTCTCAAAATGTCAACCACAGTCTGGGGGAGCTTTTCATTCAGAGCCAGGAGTAGCCACTGGCCCGTGTCTGGAAGAGGAGGTGTATTTCTGTCATAAGTCAGACAAAAATAGTTTAATGAATTGTAGATACACAGACATGGAGATGTACACACTAAGTTATCCCAGAAAGAGGAATGTATGCAATAATCCATGCAAAAGGAGAAATGCCATAAAATCACAATCTACAATTAATTTAAGGTTGAAATTTTCAACAGAATGGAAAAAAGATGCATTCTCTATCCAAAAACATGAGGAATGTTTGGTAAAGAGTAGATCGGGCTTTCCTTTACGAATCATCCCCATCTAGCATCATTAGGATGTACTATTTTTTTATATTTTTTTTATTTATACTTCGTATAATTCATTTAGATACCTAATTTTCAACTCCAACCTCATTTAATCTATAAGTTAACATGAGTTACTCTATTTTTGTACTCTTTAGTGCAGTCATTTTTATATAGGACAGTCTTTCTTGAAATGACCTATAATTTTATCCATCTACAATCAAACTTTCCTAGCATTAATCAATTTGTGTCCATATGTTTACAAATTTATCAAACACCCTGTAATTTGTCATACAGGGCATCCTTTCAGAAAATTTCAGCCTTTTTATACATGTCAATAAAGCCAAGTTCTAATTTCAATCACCCTTCTCTCTTAAGAAAACCCATTTTCATAGTTGTAAATCTCTCAGCCTCGGGATTACTGACAAAGACACCAACTCACCAACACGTACTACTAGCTTCCAATCCCCCAACACACACACCAAAGGAAAAGAAAACAGCTCTATTATTGACAATATGAGTACAAAAATCCATCATTAACATGGCACATGACAGCTGAAAAGAATTTTGGGTTTTCAAAATTCAAAGAGTGCAACTGCTGATAACAAATGGAGTAATGGCTTTGTTATCATAGTGATTTATCGGAAACTGCCTATCTTCAGGATTGGGTACTAACTCAAAAGACTGATCAAGAATTCACAAGTACTCCATAATAAACTGCAGAGGCAATTTGTGGAAACAAATGACTACTGAGAATAGTCCTTATGCATACCAGCACGATTAGGCAATGCATCTGAGCAGTGAACACCCCTTCCCCCTTCATTGTATGGTTCATTGAGGTAATATGGAAATTCATGTTGTAATAAATTTCAAAATTGAGACATGCCATAAGTTAAAGAAAATCATTGATAACCAACACAACTAATCAAAGCCAATTCAATTCTCCTCTTATCCTAGCCCATATTTTGGTAAAACTATTGGATAACTCCACTTATTTTTAAATTGGCTACATAACCATCATTGTCATAGGTAAATAAATTACTTAGAGGCATTACTCCTACATTGCTTTCTCACTTCCAAAATCACCCAAAAACAATTAATTTTATTGCAATATGTGAAGTAAAATGAGAGAGAGAAAGGGAGTGTGCACTGCATACTACCCAACTTCATCTACTATAGAAGTAGAACCAATCTCTTATTAATTTTTTCTAAACTGATTTAAGCCATCAAAAGTTTTGGGAATGTACTAGTGATAGTACACAAAACTTTATAAGAGTACAATATATTACAGCATATAATACTTCTATTTCACACTTTGTATTAGTTTTCATTATTAGAGGATGAAAGAAATTGAGATTTTCGGGTAATTGATATCTTGTCTCCTCATAACCCCTATATTAAAGTTATTCTTCCCATTTGTGTTGGAGAATTTAGAGTATTTAGTTGATTATTATTCATGTTATGTTTAGTTTAAATCATTTGGTTAAGGTGTCATGACTTAGACAACATATGATTAAGGTAGTAGTATACAACTAATCAAGAGAAAAGAAGAAAGTGGTTGATTTGTCACTATTGTTGCAACCGTTACTACTTACGGTTTCGGTTTTGATTTCTCTTGATTTAGTTGGCAGTTACATACTTAATGCATTATAACTTAGTATATTAATGCATTGTTTAATGCATGTCTTAATGCATTGTTTAATGCATCTCTTAACATTTGATGACTTGATGCATTATTTAGTAAATGTGTTGTTTTCGGTTTCGATACTTAATGCATTGTTTACATACTAGCTTCTATCTTATATATATATGAGAAACTCCTCATATGATGAATGTAGGTTGAAAGATGAAATATAATTTCTATCTTATCACATTTGCATAGGGAGTTATTATCAGTTGATCATTCTCACAAAATCACAAACCCTTTTATACATTGAATTGCAATAATCCTACAAGTTATTGTAATTGTTTTTCGTTGTATCTCCTGAGTAATTTCTATGATACTCAGTTGTAGTATAGGGTCGGAATTATACTTTTGGAAAAGTTATCCCGTTTAAGCGTCGAAGATTTTTCCAATAACTTCATTTTCATTTCTTTATGACCCTAGTTTACTAGAAAATCCCCAACAGTCAAAAAGTATAATTTACTACAAAGATAGAAAATGTGAAGGAAATGATGACGAATTTCCAGAAATTGGAAAAAGTTCGAGGGTGTAGATTTTCGAAGGTGGCAAAAGAAAATGCATTTTCTGTTGACATCACTCGGTGCGGCTTATGTTCTCACATCCCCGAAGCCATCGGTGGAGGAAAATGAGACATTGAGGAATTAGTGGGAGAATGACAACTACATATGGTGTGGTCATATCCGAAACAGTATGTCTAATGAATTATTTGATGTTTATCAATTTCATGGGTCCGCTAAATTGCTTTGGGATGAATTAGAGTCTAAGTATATGGCAGAGGATGCATCTAGCAAGAAATTTCTTGTTAGTAAGTTTAATAATTTCAAGATGATTGATAGTATGCCGGTTATGGAACAATTTCATGAAATTCAAAGAATTTTATGGAGTTTTAGGCAACACAATATCAATCTTGATGAGACCTTTATTGTTTCTTCTATAATTGATAAACTACCATCGTCTTGGAAAGATTTTAGAAATGCATTAAAGCATAAGAAAGATGATATTAATCTTGAAGGCTTGGCTTCTCACATTCGGATTGAGGACAAGAGGGACAAAAGGATGTTAATCCTAGTTCCACTATGGTAAATGTGGTGGAGGATGCTAAGCTTAATGAAAGGAAGAGAGGAAATGACTCAAACAAGAACAAAGACAAAAAGCCTAAAGTGGGAAGTGGTGGTCAAACATCACGAGCTTGTTGGGTTTGTGGAACACCAGGACATTTTAAGAAAGATTGTACCATTTGGAAAAAAAAGATGAGCAACAAGAAAGCTCAAGGTGGGAAAGGCGGTTCTAGCCAATCCCAAGGCAAGCAAGGTAATTCTTGTGCACAAACTTCATTTAATTCTTTAATGAATTATTTGTGTGTGATTTCTAAAATCTTATGTGTTTGGTACATCGATTCGAGTGCATCGAGTTATGTTTGCAAGGATCGTTCGTTGTTTAAATCTTTCGTTGAGATGACCGATGGAGAGATTCTTTACACTGGGAACGACTCCACCGCAAAAATGCTAGGCAAGGGGCAAGTTGAGTTAATGTTTAGCTCGACAAATCATTTATTTTAAGGGATGTGTTGTATGCTCCCGAACTTAAGAGGAATTTAGTGTCCGGTGCTATCTTGAATCGTTTAGGATTTAAAATGGTGTTCGAGTCGGATAAATTTATATTGTCTAAAGGTGGTTTATTTGTAGGACTTGGTTACTTATGTGATGGAATGTTTAAACTTAGTATTTCTAATACTTTGAAAGACAATGTGCATGTTGTTAATGATTGCTCTTCTCTATGGCATATAAAACTTGAACATGTTAATTATAAAAAGTTGTATTTTATGTCAAAGCATGATTTAATTCCGTCTTTTGATTCAAGGATAGAGAAGTGTAGGACATGCATGTTAACAAAAATCACAAGGAAACCATTTTCTAATGTTGTAGAAAAGAATAATGCATTACTTGATTTAGTGCATAGTGATCTATGTGATTTTCATAGCACACTTTCCTTAGGCAACAAAAAGTATTTAGCAACTTTCATTGATGATTATTCAAGATCTTGCTATGTTTATTTATTGCATTCTAAGGATGAGTCCCTTGACAAATTTAAAATCTACAAGAATGAAGTAGAATTGCAAACAAACAGTGAAATCAAAAGATTAAGAACCGATAAAGTTGGTGAATATTTTAATCCAAGTTATTTCCAATCGATAGGTATAGTACATGAAACTACCGCAGCATATAGGTATAGTGCATGAAACTACCGCAGCATATACACCACAACTAGGGGTGCTTATCGAGCGAGTTGATCACGAGCCGAGGGGTGCTCAACTCGACTTGAAAACTTTTTACATATGCTCAACTCTTACTCGCTAAAGTTCCGAGCTAATAAAACCTGCTCGACTCGTGCTCGTTAAAGTTTCGAGTCGAGTTGAGTAGCTCACGATCTGCTCGTTAAAGTTTTCGCCCTTCTATAATTATATGCCTTTATTTTATTTTATTTTTGTTCACTTTATATTGTTTTCTTTTTTTATATATTTATTATTAAAGATTTACTCTTTCTTTTTTGATAATATAAATTAACACTTATTAAGTGTCTAATTTGTTTAAACATGGTAACTTTGTTTATAAATTCTATATTACTAAAATATATTATCGAGATGCTCACGAGCTTATCGAGTCGAGTTAGAGCTTGCTCAACTCGTGCTCGTTAACATCTCGAGTCGAGTCGAGTCGAGTTAGAGTCGAGCTAACTCGAGTCGAGTTTTGGCCGAGCGTTGACCGAGTCGAATTCGAGTTGCTCGCGAGCTGCTCAGAATTAGCACCCCTAACCACAACAAAATGGTGTAGCGGAAAGGAGGAATAGGACTCTTGAAGAAATAGGTTAATTCCATGTTGTCCTATTCGGGTTTGAGTGATGGATTTTGGGGGGAAGCGGCATTAACCGCTTGTTACATTTTAAACCGAGTTTTAATGAAAAGGAATGAGGTGACCCAATATGAGCTATGGTATAAAAGGAAACCAAACTTGAGTCATCTCAAAGTTTGAGGTTATAGGGCAATTGTAAAAGTGTCGGAGCCTAAACGTAAAAAGTTGAGTGAAAGAGGAGTGAAATGCATCTTTATAGGATATGCAGAACATAGCGAATCCTATAGGTTCTATGTAATTGAACAAAATGACTATTGGTCGGTTCATACCACCATTGAGTCTAGAGATGCATTGTTTGATAAAAATAGATATTTATCAATTCCTAGACCAAAGGATATAACTCCAAACGCTGATGCTTAAAGTTTTGACCAAATTAAATTTAATCAAGAAATTGATGACCAAACTTATTTAGAGGAGGCATCAACATCATCATCTCAACCTAGGAGAAGTAAGAGGGCAAGGAAAGAAAAATCTTTTGGCCTGAACTTTCATGTGTACTTAGTTGAAGGATCAAGGAATTTTATTTCGACACAATTTCCATACATTTTTAATGTGGAAGATGATCCTTTGACCTATGATGAGGCTATGAGGTCTCGTGATGCTCCATTTTGGAAGGAAGCTATTAATGATGAGATGGAATCTATCATGGGAAATAATACTTGGGTGTTAGCTAACTTACCACCAAAATGTAAACCAATAGGGTGTAAATGAATCTTCAAAAAGAAATTGAGGATTGATGGAACGGTTGAAAAATTCAAAGCCCGGTTAGTGGCACAAGGTTTTACACAAAAGCCTGATATCGATTATTTTGATACATATCCACCAGTTGCTAGAATTTCAACTATAAGGTGGTTTATTGCACTAGCGGCAATCCACAATCTTGTGATCCATCAAATGGATGTCAAGACAGCGTTCTTAAATGAAGATCTAGAGGAAGAAGTTTACATGCGACAACCGGAAGGGTTTGTTGTAAAAGATCAAGAAGGAAAAATTAGCAAGTTGATTAAATCTTTGTATGAGCTGAAATAAGCACCTAAGCAATGGCATCAAAATTTGATGAGGTTGTGTTGTCTAATGGTTTCAAATTGAACAATTCAGACAAGTGTATTTATAGCAAATTTAATGACAACGGTCAAGGTGTCATAATTTGTCTATATGTAGATGACATGTTGATCTTTAGAACGGATTTGCCACAAATTGAAATGACAAAATCCTTCCTTAGTTTTCAGTTTTCCATGAAAGACATGGGAGAAGCGGATGTCATCTTGGGCATAAGGATAAAGAGGGAAAAAGAAAAGTTGATCTTGTCACAAACTCATTACATTGAGAAAGTGCTCAAGAAATTCAATGCTAGTGATGACTCTACTTCTCTTATTCAACACCTATGGATCCTAGCATAAAGTTGATACCTAATGAAGGTAATGTGGTTTCACAACTTGAATATGCTAAAGTAATAGGTTGTTTGATGTATACCATGACAAGTACTAGGTCGGATATTGCTTATGCAGTTGGTCAACTGAGTAGATACACTAGTAATCCTAGTATGCTACATGGCAAGCGGTTCGACGCTTGTTGAAGTACTCGAAGAAAACCATGGATTATGGTTTGTCTTATAGTGGATATCCTTCAATTATAGAAGGTTATTCGGATGCAAGTTGGATTTCTAATAAAGATCATTCGTCCACGAGTGGATGGGTTTTTCTATATGGGGGAGGTGTTATCTCATGGGCTTCTAAGAAGCAAACTTGCATTGCGGACTCCAAAATGACATCGGAGTTCATAGCATTGCATTCGGCTAGTAAAGAAGCCGAATGGTTGAAGGATCTCATTTATTAGATTCCTTTGTTGTCAAAACCAATTTCACCGATAGTGATACATTGTGATAACAATGCTACCTTGGCAAGGGTATATAGCCAAGTTTATAATGGTAAGTCAAGACACATTGGAGTAAGGCATAGTTACATCTAAGGACTTATCAAGGATAGTGTGATCATTATTGTTTATGTTCGAACAAATCTTAATCTCGCCGATTGATTCACAGGCAAGAGATGTTAAGATGGCAATCGGTTTAGGATTAGAGCCCTAAATAATTACAAATGCCGGAGTCTTAACGTAACGTCCAACAAGACGTTGGATCTTAAGTTCAATAAGATTAACTCTCTCATTTTGTTAATCGGGAACTTGTTTTCATCCAAGGTAAAGTTCCGGATTTTCTATGATGTATAAGAGGTTGTTTAACTTAATAGAATTCCTGATATTGTGCTTTGTCACAGGAGCATGTTTTGGTAATCTACCTATATAAGTACGAGGTTTAGCCGCTTCAAGAAGCTATTAGGGGCATAGCTTTGATGTACTTATGAATAGATATGGACACATGGCTTAAGTGTCAAGTTAATATGTATTTAAGTAATTAATCTTGTATGTGTAATATCTTCAAGTATCCAATATGTATTGCTTTTGGTTCAAAGGTTTTACAATACCGAATGGATTCGGATTCTTGGAATGTATGTTACACTAAGTGGGAGTTCAAGTCTTTGTATACTTTCATGTATGCAAAAGATTGTTTTTGTGATGATGATGTGTGTATACAATCAATCGTTTTAAATACTCTAAATGGGGGAGGATTGTTGGAGAATTTAGAGTATTTAGTTGATTATTATTTATGTTATGTTAAGTTTAAGTCATTTGGTTAAGGTGTCATGACTTAGACAACATATGATTAAGGTAGTAGTATACAACTAATTAAGATAAGGTAGAAAGTGGCTGATTCGTCACTATTGTTGCAACCGTTACTACTTACGGTTTCGGTTTGATTTCTCTTGATTTGGTTGGCAGTTACATACTTAATGCATTATAACTTAGTATATTAATGCATTGTTTAATGCATGTCTTAATGCATTGTTTAATGCATCTCTTAACATTTGATGACTTGATGCATTATTTAGTAAATGCGTTGTTTTCGGTTTCGATACATAATGCATTGTTTACATACTAGCTTCTATCTTATATATATATGAGAAACTCCTTATATGATGAATGTAGGTTGAGAGATGAAATATAATTTCTATCTTATCACTTTTGCATAGGGAGTTATTATCAGTTGTTCATTTTCACAAAATCACAAACACTTTTATACATTGAATTGCAATAATCCTATAAGTTATCGTAATTGTTTTTCGTTGTATCTCCTGAGTAATTTCCGTGATACCCGGGTGTAGTATAGGATCAGAATTATAATTCTGGGAAAGTGATCCCGTTCACGCCTCGAAGATTTTTCCAATAACTTCATTTCCGTTTCTTTATGACCCTTGTTTACAAGAAAATCCCCAACAATATGCACACGCATCCAGCTACCACCAGTCTCAGTCTCACTCACATGAGCTGATAAGCGCACATAAACACAATGTCAAATCTAAAGGTCAATTAACAGAGTAGAAGTTTTTCGCAGCTACCTCACCATACTTATTATTCATACTTTATAGTTTCTTTTCTCCAATATCAAGTAATCTTTCCAATTTAGGTGACTACCCCTTAACCGCCGGCCATAAAAAGCAACAAAAAAAAATGTTGTATTAAAAATAGAAGAACTAGTGGAGAAAGTATAACATAATGCTTTTACTTAAACTGCTTTCCTCCCTATACACATACACAATAGACCAAGTTACAAGAGGTGGGTTGAACAAATCCTTAATTCCATATCATGCTCAAGATTGAAAGAAAATACTGACTACGATCATATACATTTCACAATTGTAGTTGATTCTGTTCCATCATATATTGCTTGTAGACAGCAATTTGAATTAATGATCAAACATCACCAACTCGCCGTGATTTAGGTTATCAATCAAATTCTGTGCCGAACAGTATTTACTTAGAACACAATAGCAGCTAAAGATTATCAGATAAAGAAATAAAAAAAATAAAAAAAATCTAGAAGCACGTCCACATTCAGCATTACTCAATTAGCTCCTCCAATCTAAAATATGTCTACTTTCCCTTCATAAAATCTCAATCATAAATAAGGAAAATTTCTCATAATGATGCAATCTGCAGAATTCACAGATTTAATGCCCCTATAATTAAGCCCAAATTTTCCATATAAAGCTCTGAATCCAACATTTAATAACCTGTTCTCTTTCCCAAATTAACAAACCTTCAATTAACTTAAAACCCCACCAGAAACACCTGAAAATTTTAGAAGTAATAAAATTAACAACAACATACAAGCATAGCCTTAATTAAACATCAATTATACCAATCAACGCGTAATTTTATCTTAAATTTCATATTAATGCTTATACTTAGCCCACCATTCAAGTAAACCAAAACGGAAGAAAACCCAGTTCAGATCACACACAAAAACACTCACAAAATCCACAAAAAATCAAAAACAAAGCAAATAAACTCAAGAACTAAGCTCAATCTAGGAGAGAGAAAACAGAAGAATACCATACCGATGCCAATCAAGGCCGAGCACGGCCGTGACAGAACGAACAGAGATAGCTTCATAAAGAAGAGCACAGAGAAGAAAAATGGCGGACCCAACAAACGGAAGAACAGCGCGAAACTCGGCGGACCAATGCTTGTAAGAGAAGATTCGAGAAAGAGCGATGAGAGAGAGAATAGACCAAAGAGCTGGTTGAAGACGAGAATGCCATAAAGGGGAGATTTCTCGAAGATAATCAATGGTGATATACGCCATTGCTGCTACTCCGAGGCCGCCGCCACTGAGCCTGATCGGCGGCGACCACCGCATGACGGCGGTGGGTGTTGCGAAGAAGAGAGAAAGTGGAAAGAAATTGAAAGTCACAGCTCTCAGATGAGTTTGACCATGTTTTTACTAATTTTGATCTGATTATTTTTTTCAAATAATCATCCCTTTTGATTATTTTTTTTTAACCATAATCCCTTTTGATATTCTTCAAAAAAAAAAAAAAAAATCTCTTTTGATAATATATTTAAAATTTAAATGTGACTAACATATGGAGAATGGAGTATTCTATAATACTTTCTCCGTTCCAGAATATCACGTTTGACTTTTTTTCACTATTTATATATTAGCTTTAACCATAATTTTTTACTAACATAATAAAAACATATTTTATCATAAAATATATTGTTAGATAGGTATTAATATAAAGTTTCATAGTATAATTTTTGAAATAATTTTTATTAATTTTTAATTATATAAAAATAAAATCAAATTAGTGCATTGGCATGTGTGTAAAGTTGAGTGTGTCAGATATTATGGGACAAAGGGAGACTACTTTCATAGTTTTATTAATAAAAAAAAAAAATTGGAAGTAACTATTATAGAGTTTCATCAAATTGAGTATAATATATGTAATTATTTATTTTTATGTTAATTTTAATTGTTATGGGTGTAAAGCTGATAAGACTCTTAATATTTTTCGGACATTACATACATATAAGGTTGAGAATGGTACATGTGTTATTATTTCATTATGTTTAGTGTTTTAAACTTAAAGCATAACCAATGGATGCCCAAGTTAATGGTGGTCATCATATTTTTTTATCACTTTCTGATTCTTCCACCTCATTTATGCCCAACTTTCATGAATTTTCATACCTACTTATGCCCATACACTCCCATTGGTTTCCCTCCAATTTTGTGGGCATTGATTCTCCTTTCCTTCCATTTTCCACATGAACCCCCATCAATTTAAAAATTAAAAAAAAAAAAATCACCGCCTCTCTTTGTTGGACAGGTGGCGAAATACCACTAAATACCCACACTCAACAAATGGTCATGGCCATGACCTGGTCATGAACCATTTCTCACCAAAAGTACAACTTTATCATTTTTTAAGTTTTTTTTTTCTCTCTCTCTCTCACTCTCTCTTCATGCCCACCCAAAATGGGCATCCATTGGCTATGCTCTTATAGTATTAGTATCTACTCCCTCTGTCTCATAATACATGTCACAGTCAAACATTGCACACATGTCAATACACTAGTTTGACTTTATTTTTATATAATTAAATATTAATGAAAATTATTTTAAAAATTATATTATGAAACTTTATATTAAAACCTATCTAACAACATATTTTATGATAAAATATATTTTTATTATGTTAGTAAAAAATTATGGTCAAACCTAATGCATGAATAGTAAAAAAAATTCCAACGTCTCATGTATTATAGGACAGAAGGAGTATTATGTTTAAGATTTTATTACAAATTTAGAATTACACAAATTCTTATATTCAATTCGTATGTGGCTGACCACACCATCATGGGAGTTACTTCATTAATGTTATAAGGGTTATATGGTCAGTGTCATATGGAGGTTACTCGGTTATTATTATAGGGCTTACTCGATCAGTGTTATAAGGGTTACTCAGTCAGTATTATAGGGGTTACTTTGTTCGTTTACAAGCGAGCACATGATGTGTCCATTCGCGCACAAAACGCGCTGTAAAATCTATATGTTTTGGAAATTTGAAAAATAATATTTTTATAAAAAATTTCATATCTATTAAATTAACAAGTACTCATAAATGGATCTTGTTAAAGCGTTTTTAACAACAAATTTTATGGCGTAAGATTATAAAACTTTTTATGTATGTGAGAGATTAAAAGTTTATTTTGCCCAATAAGGTGGTGACATGCGGACCCTTAGTCGGAATACAGGCCGGAATAGAAGAGAGGGTGGTGAGACCTACTGGTATTGCATTTTAGGGTGGTATTTTTAATTTCGTAAGAAAAGGGTGGTTAATTAGAAAAGTGATGTATTTAGGGGTGGTTTTTTTTTACAAAATTTCTTTAAAATAAATTCAAGAGTTAAACACACGATCAACTTTGTTCACCATTCACCATTACTCACTAACCTCACGCACAATGCTCATCTTCTCCGATAACCTCCTTCCTTTCCACTGCCATTAACGATCTATCTTCCTCCCCATTTCCCCCCCTTCTCCTCATATCTACACTTTCCCCCCAAATCCCAACTTTTCCCCCAAATCCCCAATAAACTAGTGAAGGTAAACAAAGTTTAGCTTGATAAAAAAATGGCGCTCTATCTCACACACATACACTCTCTTTTTTGTGCTGACTTCTTCACTCAGGTGTAACACCCTAGAAATTTCTTTCCTTTAACATACCTATTTATCTCTTTTTAAAATACGAATTAGGAAATTCTAACGCATTACCGCCACCATGAAAACAACTAAGGCAATTATCAAAGACTCACAACGGAAGACTCGGTTCAAAATCATTCAAAATAAGTTAACTTAAAAAGTCAAACCAAACGAAAGTAAAGCCAAACCATGTTAAAAGAAGTCAACCTACAACTTGGAACCATTGTAGGCCCTTATCAAAACCCAAAACGAATTTTAAAAACCTTTGTGTTAGTCTCACAAGCAAAATATATAATAATCAAAGCAATAAACCACATCGTATCCTTATAGAAGCTAAGCATGATTCGCTCTTCACTCATGCCCATCATGAATATGCTTCAACACCTGAAAAACTTCTCTTTACTTTGTCCCCACTACTCGCCATTAGAAATGGGTCGTCGTAGGGCCAAGATAAAGACAAGGCCAAACAAAGATACAAACACACAATCAGCAATGTTGAGTACATAAGCGTAAACAGTACACACTAACATGCTTTCATCATATCAATACACAACTTACCTTGTTGCACCTATTTACAAGCATACAACAAAACCAACCAATAAATAGCTAAATAAATTGCTTATTTAGTTTGATTACGCATCGAACGAGTTTCCCACCAATTCCCTGCCCCAAATAAATTGAGGTAAACTACACCGGGAGCTAACCGGGTAGGCAATGCCACTTGAAAGTGACTGGATGTCCTACGCATAAAATAAAAAAAGGATATACGTTCCAAGAGTTTTGGTGCGTAATCTTTTTCACTTTACGTGATTTACATATTTTTAGACTTGGTGATGACTCTCAAACCATAATACATTCATTCATAATAAATCATTCAAGCAATCAAACACACCAATTTAATTCTTGAATAATTAGTGACCACATAAATTTAATGTTGAACCCTTTTTAAACTACCTCGGCATTAAATAACACCTTAAGCGCATAAAGCATCGCTTTTATCCCTCGGTGTTTAGAACACCTTAAGTGCACTTAGGCACCGCAATACATTTTATTCCTATGCACTAAGACACTTAATAGCTCAATTCCCATGCTTAAAGCATCAATAAAAATTATATGAACCATAATAAAATTCCCTTTTTATATTCCAAACTAAATTAAACATTTAGTTTAATTAAACATGCTCTCAATCACGTCAATAATAAAAGTATGGTTCATATTCTACATGACAACATAATTAATTCCAATCATCAATTCACCACAAATAATTCATACTTTACAAATCAATCACCAACATCAATCCAATCAACAATTCCAACCAATATCTATCATGATACTACCTTGGAATTAATAAAACAAAGCCTAGCATGCTCCTATACAGTTAAATAATTACCAAGTACGCGAACGTACCTCGAATATGATCTCAAAATCGTCACGACTACATGAAATTACTCACTTGGAAATCTTCTACAACCCAAAATTACAAAGAGATATTAATATCTATTCAATATAAATTTCCAGCAATATACACTCTTTAAATCACTTATAAACCCTCTAAAATAAGCTGAAAATTAATTAAAAACCCCTACTTTTATTCCCAATTAATGGATAATTAAAAATCCTTTCAAGAAACATAATTCTAATCTTTATATAAAAATTCCAGCTTTTTAAAAACATGTAAAATTGTTGTAATTATGTTTAAAAACACCTATTTCAATAATTTCAATCATCTACAACCAATTCCCATCAATATACATTAATTTAGAAACCTAGGGTTTTCAATTTAAGGCTTCTAAATTCAAAAACCAAATTTGAAATATACATACGTAATAATCATAATCAAACATCATAAAAATCATCAAAAAAAACCCAAAAATAATAATTAAATCAAGGCTAGATTAAAACTAAAACAAAAAGATTTTTTTTTTTGTTAAAGTCGCACAGCCACACGACGGGGAGGGGGCTGCTGCCGCCCTCCACGCCGGCAGCTGCTGCTGCTGGCGGCTGCTAGTGGCCGGCCGGTGGGGGTTGGTGGTGGCGGCCGGCCACCTTGTGTGTGCATGTGGGTGTGTAAAAAAAATAAAGGGGAGGGGAAAAATTAAGGAAGAGAAAATAAGAGGGGAGAGGGAGAGAGAGAGAGAGTTTACCTTTGGGTATTCTCCACCTTGGGCAAGATCTAACTTGCTCATAAAATGAGTATTTATACCCCCTCTTAAAACCCTCCTATCCTTAAATTCCCTTTCTTCCCTGAATGATCCTTTCTCCTATTCAAACTAGTCATTTGACTTCCTTTAAATACCATTGACTTTAAATTTCCTTTATAAAATAATATGCCCCAAAATTTCTAAATAATAAAATAAAATATTTTCAAAGCAATAATAAATAAAAACGGACCTTTAATTTAAAAAAAAACCTTTTTAAATTAATAAAATACCATAAATAATTCATTTCAAATTATTTAAATGCTTCATAAAATAATAATTTAAATTTAAATACGTATAAAAATACAGGGTATTACACAGGTAATTTCTTTCTCTCTCTGTTGTTTTTTTTTCTTCACGCCAAATACCCATTTTGTAGATCAATTGTATGCGGGTCTAAAGAGGGTTAACAATTGTAGACACCTGAAAATGTCTCCCCAAAACCAAACCCGATGATGAACAACCTTTCACTGCCATTATTGGTTGGGTCGAGTATTTGATCTCGGGAGTGCTTAAAATCCATGTTCAGTCAAACATATTCAGTCAACAAATCAGTCCAACCATTTATTCAAACTCAGTCCAACTCATATCCTAGCCCAAACCCTTTCTATTCATGTCGTGTTATTTATTAATTAAGCCCGATTAATAAATAATAAAAACCCTAAGCCTGAAATTAATCTGGAATAACTTAAACGGTGCCTAATATATCACGTACTTAATTATTAAGCAAGGAATAATGAATCTGTACTGTTTAACTTAAAAAGTAACTTTAAATGTATGACATAATTTTTTTGTCCCGAACGTCAAGGGAAGTCCAAGATAATATTGAAACCATTAACGTAGGAATATGAAAACGCCGAGAGGTGTATGTTTTCAACTCGAGAAAAGCAAAAGAGGAAAACGCCGCCCTTTCCTACACCAATGGTTTCAATATTATCCTTGGGCTTCTACATTTTATTAATGCGGTGAGACAATTTGAGGACTCGCTCTCGCTAGAGATGAGTTCCCAGGGCCTTGATCACCGGAGTGAGGGGTTGTTCCCTGATGACATATGGAATAAATTATGCTACAATTTGACGTTTGGGACAAAAAAAAATTATGTCATGATGACAATTAATTTCATATAAATTTTTTTGCGTTTACCTTGTTTACAATAATATTAATTTACAAATTGAGATAATTAACTTTAATCTTTTGGGGTTTAACTTAAAAAGTAACTTTAAACTCAATATGATTTGACAATCGATAGTAATTTTTTTCATTCACTAATATTTAATTTTTACTTTTAAAGAGAATAACTTTATCGGTAAAGCACATAAAACTTTTACTTATATCGAGTACTCTTAACTCTTACTCCCTCTAATCTGTCCCTGACATAGTCAAACTTTGCACACATGTTGATGTACTAGTTTGGCCTTATTTTTATATAATTGAATATTTATGAAAATTATTTTAAAATTTATATTATGAAACTTTATATTAATACACAACATATTTTATGATAAAATATGTTTTTATAATGTTAATACAAAAATTATAGTCAAAGTTAATATATGATTAGTGGAAAAAAGTCACATGTCTCAGTTATTCTGGACAGATGGAGTATTTATTTTGATGTAACCTTAGATCATTCTCAGCAAATTTAGGCTCTATTCACTTCACCTTAAAAAAAAATATTCAGTAAAAATAATTTTAGTTAGGTAAAAATATTTCAATTCAGTAAAAATAAGTTCATTTCACTAAATATAATTTCAATTCAGTAAAAATAATTTCATTTCAATAAAAATCAATAATTTTAAAGATGAAATATAATGGAAAATCAGTAAAAAAAAATCAATAATATTAAAGAAGAAATATAATGGGAAATCAATAAAAATAATTTCAATTCAATACAAATAATTTTAGTTCAATAAAATTAATTTTCAGTTAATTTCATTTCAATAAAATCAATAATTTTAAAGATGAAATATAATGGAAAATCAGTAAAAAAAAAAATCAATAATATTAAAGAAGAAATATAATGGAAAATCAGTAAAAAAAAAATTCAATAATATTAAAGAAGAAATATAATGGGAAATCAGTAAAAATAATTTCAATTCAATACAAATAATTTTAGTTCAATAAAATTAATTTTCAGTTCAGCAAAAATAATTTCAGTTCAGTGAAAATAAAGTGGAGTAAACAAGTTTTACATATCCTGTTAAAAAAAAAAAAAAAAAAAAAAAAAAAAAAAAAAAAAAATTCTACATCGAATATACAATATTAAATGTACACCAGGCTTTTAAAAAATTTGTGAATCTCATATAAAGCTGTTTTTTCAAATCAGAGCCAATCGTAATCGCTGGTGTATCCAGACATAAGTATAGAAATTGGCTTAGAGGCAATAGGTTATAATAATTAATAGTGTCCCCTCCAAATGCAATGCATAGATCAGCTTGTATCAATGTTGATTATAGGTTATAACAGGTAATAAACGTTTAAAGCTTATTAAGGTCTTGCAAATTCGTCGGCCTACGAATGTGGTTCAATCCTTTCGGTGATCTAGAGATAAATCATAAGAAAACTATGATGAAATATGTCAAAATTTCATCATATAAATACTAATTAATCAGCAGGTTCAAATTCAAACTATAACAGTATAACTGCAGTGCAAAGAAAAATGCAGTTATTACCAATCATAGCAGCATTGAGTAAATTTTTGGTATCTTCATGCAACAAGTCCAAATAGTAATTGTGTCCATATATACCTTGGGTAAGCTATAATCATTTACATCAAAACCAAGGCTTCCTACGTAGGAAGATTACAAATTTACAACTTTATCAATTATAAGTTTGTCTATTTACCATCTTCACTACAGAACAGCTTCTTCACCTGTTGAGATTCAGTATAACTCCCTGGATCATGCTATAGCTCATCATAGCCGTACTCCGAGCGATAAAAATCTATGTCACTGTCACGATCCAAGCTGTTAAATAAAGAGAAAAATAAAAATTTCCCAGGTAAGCATGCTCTCATATCAAAGTAGTGAAAAGAAATCCACAAGTGCATATGATCAGAACTTTGGAAGCCTGTCACAGTTTACAGTTGTCCATCCAATCTGGGATTTATCGTTGTTGTAAATCATCATCTTGTTCAGCAGTGAAATATCTGTAAACAGCAAACAATAAGAGTTACAAGCTTATACACGTATATTATGAAGTAGACGATTCAACACGAGTTAACAATAGCTTCACCTCCAAGAACATTGAGATTATCCAGCCCTGCCTCAGCACCATTCAATATCCCCAAGCACACATTGCCAAGTTTCTGAAGACCGGGAAAAATGAAGACTTTAATATCCTGTTCTACTTGTAATTATCATAGAGAAAGTGAACAAAATTACTCACATTGACAATAAGATAAGCCTCCGGTGACATATCCAGCATTGCGTTACTCGGTTTCGAGAATCTCAATGCCAAATGCTTGAAAAACTTTTTGACATCATTGATGGATTTGAAAGGTTTTACACCTTTCCAACATATTGGAAGTGTTTTATCCTCAGGAGCCATCTTTAGCTCCTTTTGGTTGATGTTTTTCTTAATCTGAATAAAAGAAAGTTGTGGGAAAGATATTTAAGTTGGCTACACTTTTTTAAAAGTGCATTCAAGATTTCAAATTACAAGTGATTGTAATTCTCACCGTGGATAATGCAGCTTCGTAAACTTTACTACTCAAGTAAGTATAGGTACTTCCACTGTCAAGAACAAAGGAAAGACCACCCTTGAAAACGTTTTTCCCATCAAGGAGCAGCTCTGCAGGTCCTATTGAGTAGTAATTCCTAAAATGCATCATGATGAGGTTAGACAAAAGGTGGAGAATATTTAGCCAAACAATAAATCAGGCATAAACAATATAGAGCAAAAAAGAATGCTTACCCAACTTGTTTTTTCAACATCGGTACCCAAACAGTTCCAGAAGGAATTAGTGTGTCCCCTAAAAACAGGTAACCTCCTCCTTGGTCACTCAAGCAATGGCCAAACACGTTTTTGGTCACTTTTAAGTCATTAAGTTGAGACAAGATACTGGATTTTCCATTTGCCAGCCCAAGAACTCCATCCACGAAAGGAGGTTCGGTTGAACTAGAGAGATCTTGATCATAGCCACAACTGAAGAAATAATCATGGAGTACAAGGTTCAAAATTTTCAAATAAGGATATTATATACTTCAAATTTGAAATTAAAATCCACTAAATTACACTCCTTCCAAACTACAATCCAAAAAAAAAGTGTCGCGAGACTGATGCACATATATTTAAAAAGTATTTGGAAAAAAATAATAATTCAAGTGTATCTATCATAAGCTCATTATATACTACAATCACATTCAGTGAAAATTTTGAGAAGCAAGGGGAAGTAAAGTAAAACCAAGCAAAAATTTTACATTTATGACAATTACTTGATATTAAAAATTATCTTGATTAAATTTATTTAGGATTGGAGAAAGTAAATTTTTATCCAGGATATGAGGAGGTTGTTTCAACCGTATGATGAAATTTTTTATCCAGGATATGAGGAGGTTGTTTCAACCGTATGATGAAAATTTTAATTTCAGCAAGAGATATAAGAAGTACTAACCCAAAAACCAGAGGAGTATGTGAAGTGGAACCATTCAAGTATTGAAGGGGGAAGTTGTCCCTCACCAGTACTCCAATAGATGAACCATGATCAGCATACTCAACTTCATAGTCACATTGATCGCTAGGATTGTGGCAAGGATAGTTTGAAGAAGAATGTTGCAGGACGGCACACAGGGAATGCTTACATGGAAGAGCATTATTACCCTGGGGTTTGTAAGGCTTGTGAGGACTCTGCATGGAAGATATAAATTATACTTTTGTAAAGGGACAATGAGACAGTATAAAGCTCTCAATTTATAATTTCAGATCTGTCCAATGAAGAAATTACCTTGGGACAATTCACACACGGTGCATCACAGTTGACCCATGTGAGGTCGCTGCCAGTATCAATATCAAGATGATAAGGTCTAGGAGGAGTGCCTATATTTAAGGTAGTGTAAAAATACCTGCAAACATTTCAAAGACATTGAATAAACTTTGATACTTATGAAATAGATTTTAGTTCAGGATCCATTATTAAATGCTCGTCCAAATTTAAAGATAAAAAAGGCAAGAGTGGGGAAAAAAAAAAGAGTTTTAGGAAACACGGGATTAGAAACAGCAACAGAAGCAATACTCATATCAAAAAGAGAATGTGAATCTGTTAATCAAGCTACTATGAAAGAAGTAGGAGTGATAAGAGATACTAGATTTCATAGTCTTCCTAACATTTTTCTATATTCGCCGAAGCATAAGAATTTAAATAAAATAAGAACAAAACAAACAAGACGGAGACCCCAGGGTGCACCGGTACGAAGAGTGGAAGAGTGGGATCATGGAGAGGTTAAACGAGGTAGAGGGAGACCAAAATGACTTGGTTGGAAGGAGTTAGGAAGGATATGAAGCATATGGATTTACGTGAGGATGAGGTATTTGATCGTAAGGGGTGGAGGTAGATTTTTGTGGATGACTATACGGAATAATCACTTTTGGTTCAGGGATTAAGGGTTTGATTGATTGAAAAACTAAATAAAACAAAAGCAAAAAGCAAAACAAAAAAAACAAAAAGCAAACTTTTAGCACAAAATATACTGATCTGGATAACATTCCCTTCAACACGAAAACAGTAGTAAACAAGAAGAAACATCAGTTAAGAGGAAACCCAAACAGAAGGCAAAAGTGTATTCTGTCAGATACTAAAATCAATTTCAATGTCTCCCCTTATTCTTGACATCAACATATCAGATAAATATGAGATTTGACAATGATGATTATTAAGAATTGGTAAATAATTGTAATAGCAAGTCAAAGGAAAAATGGGTTCTCTCACTCTGCTCCCTAAAGCACATAACAGCCCATGTGTTTGTCAATATACACAAAAGCAGTGCCCAAAAATGATGAACCAATGAAGCATGTATCCGCACTAGTATGAAGCAGCTATAACAGAAAAGCATAAAGGCAGATCTAACATGAATAATAGAGGTGATCAAAGTCATGCTGTGATATGGATTATGTTGTATCTACCCACTAAACTTGAAGCCACTTGAATTGAAGGTTAAACTCTGTGTAAGAGTACAGCAGTGAAAATCACATAATCAAGAAGCAAAAGGCAGAACTGAATATATGAAGATGAAATTCAATGCGGCTGAAGAACACTATCAGGCACATGAATCTAAGCAAGAATGTGTGAAAACAAAGCTTTCCTCTTTCCTTAGAATACATTGATCATTCAACAATGCATGAAGCAAGTTTGTTACTGCAGTAGGATTTTGGCAAAATACTCTAATATATAATGTTGTAGTTGTTTTTTACCCAATCATGAATGAGTGGGTTCACTTGAGAGACTGATACTCTGCAGAAATATGGATTTTTTTTTTTTTTCTTTCTTTCTTTCTTATTTACAGGAAACCATGAACATACATGCCCTGGACTGAGAATTTAAATAATACCTAGAAGAATAATGGAATCACTTTTCCAAGTTGAATCATGAATACTGAGGGGAAAAAATTATTCAAGCAAGTTCGAGATTCACATAAAGGAACTTTCCATTGCTCTTCTTTGCCATAATTGGTAAATGGAATAGACATTTTGTATACCTTACTTTGGAAAGAAAAGGGAAGTTACTCATGAATCTACAAACTATTTTTCATGGATGGGAGCCAATGAGCCACTCATGAATCAAATCATGGGTTATATAATCCTAGGCACTAGCCAAAATACTAGTCCATACAAAGAAAGCTAAAATCTTAAAGTTGAAACTTAAAAAATAATTTGAAGAAATTGGTTGTGTTGAGATGCCCTTTTCTAAAGCAACAGATAGTGAAGCTAAAGTAGGGGCCACTCATTGCTCCTGAGAGTCCTGACAAGTATGTCAAATTAAAATGTTTCAAGCTCATACAAGATTACAAGAGAGTATATTTTTTCCTAATACTTCTTCCATGATTCCATCCTCAAAATTAGAAGGACAATTCAAGAAGACAGAGTAAAAAATTACAATTATAAAAAAAAAAAAATTAAAAATCATAGCTGTATTTAATCAAGAAATGTGCTTCCTAGAGTGTCATGCCAGCAGAGTTAAGTTACTAATCGCTGCTGCACTAATAATATTGGAGATAGTAAGGATGAGAAACTGGAAATATTTTAAGAATTTCATTAGAAATCTTAATATATGGAGTATAGAGTTTCAATGATGCAGGACAAACTAAAAATTATGATGAGGCATACAATTTTGTCAGCAGAAGGAACAATAATCAACCTGTCAAAAGTTGACTTGACACGGTGAATGGGTTGGGCTAAAACTGAGCAATTCGAAACCCATTTAGTTGAAAATTTCGAAAAACCTGTATATTTCACACATAACACAATAGACTTATGTGTGAAATATACACATCAAGAGCGTGACTTAACTTTTGCCCCTGGGTGATAATTATTAAAGTTGTATGGAGTTTCAAGTCACAAGAACCATCACACATAACACGTTAGACATATGTGTGAAAGACAACCCCCCCCCCCCCAGTGTTGGGTAATAAATTATAATTATTAAAGTAATAATGGAGCATTGTGTCACGAGAACCATCTTATATAACAATAAGTTATAATTATTAAAGTAATAACGGAACATTGTGTCATGAGAACCATCTTATATAACATGTTAAACTTGCAAGTGAAATGTATGCATAAAGAATGTGGCTTGTCATGCTTTGGAAAAAAATGTGACATGTAAGATTAACTTAATTTGATTAACAATGAGTGAACAATCAATTCACATCCTTAGTATTACTTGGGAATGATATCTCTTTTGATTTAGAATTATGTGTAAATTAATACGGAGTATGAAATAGGAAAAATAGAAACTAATAATCCCACCTTTGTCATTTCTGCTCAAAATAATCCCACCTTTTCGAAATCTGGAAACAATCCCACCTTTGCCCCCCATCTGCTCAAAACAGTCCTTTACCCGGATTATTAAGTTGGTAACCTGTTGAACAAGGTTACTTGCCACGTGTCTTCTTAGGATTGGTTTTTATTTTTTGGAGGAAAAAAAAAAAAAAAAAAACCCACCAAAACAGCAGTCAGCAACAGCCCCCTCCCCAGCCGGAGTGCCAGAGCAACCCCCTTCCTCACCATCCACTGAACATCAGTCCTCAAATGTTTTTTCGTCCTAATGATCACATCACCATTTTCGTCCTCTTCAGTACTCAACTTTCTAACAACAACCCCTCAATTTTGAGAATATCACTACACTTCTTCTATCACTCTCGAACATCTTTTATTCAAGTGCCAAAATAAAGTCTTCCACCAAACAATCCCTCAATTAATTCACACATTTTTTCCCCTTTTTATTTTCTGGGTAATTTTTCTTTTTTATTTTATTTTCTGGGTTTAATTTTCTGGGATTAATTTTCTGGGATTTCTTAAATGAGTTTACTAACACCACCACCAACAAGAACAACATGGTGTCATCAGCTTCAATTCAATTTCAAGTTCAGGAAATCTCAGACGCCATTGTGTTTTATCAAAGCTCGGGGCTTGATCTGCGAGTTCATTGTGTTGCACAAGATGAAGCTAAGAGTGGTAGTGATGAATCAGAACGGCAGAGTTGTTAAATGAGGGTGCGGACTGCGGAGTTGTTAATTGATCAGGTGCATGGGCTTGGCAGTTTCGATTTAGTGATGGGGATGGGCTTCCAATTCAAGGGTGCAGTGGCCACGTGAGTCATGATAGAAGTGGGGGTTCGGGGATGGAGAGCCTTGCGTGGAGGTCCGGTAGGGTGGGGTAAGCTAGGTTAGAATTTTGGGGTGGTGATCAGACGGTTATAGAGGGGTAGGTGGTGGTTATGGACTCCTGGTGGGTTGGCCATTGAAGAAGATGGTGAGGTGGGAAAAGAGAATAAAAAAATAAATTATTGAAAAAATAAATTACCGGTTCAATAGGTTTTAGGTAAATAGGCCTGTTTTGAGAATATGGGGGTTAAAAGGTGGGATTGTTTCTAGATTTCGAAAAGATAGTATTGTTTTGAGCAAAAAATAGCAAAGGTCGGATTATTAATTTCCATTTTTCCTATGAAATATAATGTTACCAGAATCAAAACACTGCTATCTCAATCAACCCAAAAACCATTACATTTTAAGGTAATAGAATCAGATTTGAGAGCTGTAATTGAAAAAATATACATATAAATTAATTTTTTTATAAAAAAAGAGTCCTCAGTACTGTTGGTATTAACATTGTTTTTGTTGAACTTATTTGTATTATGACTTGCTATTTGCTTACTTTATCTTGTTTGCACTTAGACATCTTCTTTGTTTTATTCTATATTTATAATTATCTCACACTAAAAAATAGGAAAAAAGCTGTAATTCTTTGTTGGATGAACCTAAAACCGAACACACATCGAGTCTTTGAACAAGCATTGTTCGAACCAAATCCATAATTACCCAAATCCAAAAAGACCAAAACCACCCGACACGAACCCAATCCGAATGACCTATTTGACATCTTTTGCGTTTAATTTTGCCAAAGAAACAACTTGAAAAAGGTAGGAAGACGAAAAAGGTGGAAAGGGAAAAGGGTAGGAAAGTTGATTAACAAAAGATAAGTCAAGAAAGTTAATCAACAAAAGATAAGTCAAACATTCGATAACTCTCATGCAAACAAATAAAAAAAATACTCCGTATGAAACTTTCATCAAAAACAAACAAATCAAACAAAAAAAAAAAAAAACTGCAAAAAATACTCAAAAAGAAAAAAAAATCAAACTAAAGATTCAATGGGCAATCAAATTCACAATAAAATGATAATTAATCATTGAAATCATAAATATAACTATAATTAGAGCTAGAACTAAAACAAAATCATGAAAAAAATGCAGTCAAAATTGCCTAGCTAATATAAACTGAAATGTGAAATTCAACCCACCAACATCACATTCAAGATTAATTATGCATCAAAATCATTTAATAACAAAATTCAACAATACAAAAAACATTAGAAAATAAGCAAGATTAAGAAAAAGAAGAGATACCCATCAGGATAAACGTTTCCTTGAACACGAAAAACAGCACTTAGATCAAAGCTATTGATTGCAGAAGAACCACCATGATTCTGGGATTCACAGAAAATACCCTGAAAAAATGTTGCAGTAAAGAACAAAAACACCAGATTTACTGAAACATTAAATTTCTCAAAGTTTGATCCCCACATTCTTGTTTTTTTCTGCTAAAAATTGAAAGTGATAGTTTTTATGATAAGTAAGAAAGAAGTAGTGAAGAAGTTTGGTGGGAGTATTTTGGGGTTGTTTAAGCAGAGGAAGAAAGAGCAGAGAATTGAGCACACTGCGTGTTCGACGAAATTACAGGTAGAGAAATTTATAGAAAATTGAATGACCTTTTCACCTGTTCACGCGGTAGGAGATCATCACTCTGTTGAATCAAAACTAGTTTTTGACCCCGGTTTCGGGTTTTGATTATTTAAAGTAATATAGAATATTGTGTCACGAAAAATGTTGCATACTTGCATATAACATGTTATAATTGTGCGTAAAATGTACACATTAAGAACGTGACTTAGTTTTTGACCCTGGTACGCGGATTGTGATTATTATAGTATTATGGAGTAGTGTGTCACGAGAAATATCACACGTCACATGTTATATTTGTGTGTGATAATATACACATGAAGAACTTGACTTACTTATTGACTCCATTATCCGGGTGATAGCTGTTAAAGTAAAATGGAGTATCATGTCACGACTCACGAGAACCATTGCACAAAACACATTAGACTTTGTGTGTGAAATATACACATTATAAACTTAACTTGGTTTTGATAATTTTTTAAAGTAATATGGAGTGTTGTGTCACGAGAATTATCGCACATAACTCGTTAGACTTGTAAGTGAAATACAATATAACATCAAGAACACAACTTAATCTTTGACCTCTGTTCTACAGTGATAATTATTAAAGAAATAGAGTATCGTGTCATGAGAATCATCACATATAACACATTAGACTTGTACTTCCTCTAATTTTTTTTGGATGCATCATTTGCAAAAACACGGACTTTTAAACAGTTTTTTGAGATGAGAGATATAGAGAGAAAGATCAGAGGACTCATGTGATATGAGAGAGATTAAGAGGATTTATTAACCAAAAAGGAAAGTGATGCATTTAATTTGAAACTTCTTTATTTCAAAAGTGATGTATCTAAAAAGAAATATATGACATACACGCATAAAGAACGTGACTTGCTTTTTAACCTTGACTCTCATGTTATAATTATTAAAGTAATAAGGAGTATTGAGTCACAAAACCATCGCTCATAATATGTTAGACTTTCGTGTTAAATATACCCACAAAGAACGTTTATAGTCAAGCTATGGAAGCATACTCATAAAAAACTTGACCTGTCATGTTTTGGAAAAAAAATATGACATATAAGATCAAGAATGAGTGAGCACTTTGTCCACGCACCTAAGTAATATTTTGGAATGAAATCTCTTTTGATTTACAGTAATCTGTATATTAGTATGGAATATTGTATTACCAGGATCACTACATATGTCAGCTAAGACGTGTGTAAATGCTCAAAGGATTATCATGATTTACACACGTCAAACTAATCTGTCATACTTTTTAAAATTTATCACAATTGAAATTAATAATGAGTTTTCTATCTATTCACGAGCCTTTTTCAAAAAAAAAAAAAAAAAAAACAAAAAAATAATATATATCTATTCATGAGCCTTAATACAATTTGGAAATTGGAATGAATTCTCTTTTAATTTCAAATGATTTGAAAAGTAAGACTGAGTATCGTGTTACACATTAAGAACATGACTTAGTTTTTTACTTCACGGTTTCTATGGAGATAATTCTTAAAGTAATATGGATTGTCGTGTCACGAGAACCAACACAGATAATGCGTTATGTTTGTGTGCGCAAAATACACATTAAGAACGTGACTTTAGCTTTGACTCCAATTCTTAGATGATAATATTTAAGTACTATGAAGTTTCGTGTCACGAGAACCAATACACATAACATGTTGGACTTGCCTGTGAAATTTACGCATTAAAAATGTGACCGGTTATGTTTGGTAAAAATGTGACATTTAAGATTGGGAATGAGTGAACAGTCTATTCATGCGCCTTAACTATTTAGGAATGAAACTATTTTTTAATTTAGAGAGTTTTGTAAATTAGTATGAAATATCGTGTTACCAAGATCATTACACATAACAACTAAAATTTGTGTGTAAATAAACAAGATCATCGTATAATATACACATGCCAAAATAACGTCATACTTTTGAAAAACGTGACATTTGATATTTAGAATGAGTTTTTCATCTATTCACGTGTCTTAATACAATTTAGAATGAAAAAAAATTGTCATGCTTTGAAAAATGTTAACTTAAGAATGAGTTTTCATCAAATCATACACTTTAATACTATTTTGCAATGCAATCTCTATGTTGTAGAATATAATCTTTAACTATGTTTAAAGTGCTATAGATTGTTAGGTTAATTTGCCTTATGATTAGAGGCTTAGAGCTACAACCTCAGGTCAATTGGTCAAGTGCAATCTATTTGTTTCAAACAACCTTTAATTTAAGCTCATATAGAAACCCAAATTTATATGAAACAGAATTTGATTACATAAAAAATTTATTTTCCTGGTGAAAGAGAGGGCAAGGACCAAAAACAATATGAATACATAATCACCCTCCCCCCCACCCCCCCCCCCCCCCCCCAACCCCAAAAAAAAAAAAAGTTCCAGCAACTAGTTTTCTTCTCAAGCTAAGCCATTCCGTAAATTAAATCAAGACGCGAATAAATTGCACATGAGCAGGATGAAAATCTTTTGTAACTGTACAAAACCTCTAGCACCAGCAGAAACCTATGAACAAACACGGCAACAAAAGTTTCCGATCTGAAAAAACAACCACTGAATTGGGTTCAAATATTCATCTTCCGCTGGTTCTGCTGCTGCTGGAGGTATTGGCATTTCATGAGGTAAATGCCGATGAAATGCATCAACTGCAGCAGCAACACCATCTTCATTCTCTATCAGCTTAGCAAGCTCCATCACCCGTGTTTTGACCTTAAACATTACAGTGTGAAGCTAATTTGTATCACCGACTTTAGGCAAGAAACCAGAATATTAACACTTAAAATTATCATTTGTATATTAACCCCCAATAATTGCATATCAGCCAGCAATTCTATTACCTTTCTTTTTTCCAACAGTAGAAAGAAAAACTTCAGTCCAACTTCAGTAGTAGCTTAATGCAAGACAGAATACATATCAAATCATATTTATACATACACCACTATCCTAATGTCATGTCTTCCCCAGTGTTAATTTCTTCATAAGTACTACTCCAGGCAGAACAGTTAGTTCACAGAATGTCCATCGCAATATAAATTATCCTAGAAGGTTCATGATGTCAGGTCCACAGGGAGCCTTTAAATCAAAGACATCTCCACCTCATATAACATATGCCATTCAATACAAGACAGCTTGCTTGAACATGGCTTGTATCTATTCTACGTTCAAATACAAAATTGCAATCGGAAATGCATAGATCAGTAAGTGGGAAAAACAGCAACTGACGCATATAGTTAAAAATGGAAAGTACCTCAGGTTGGAGCATAAATCGTATAGCACTTGACAGAGCGTCAGTGCTGAGCTGAGCAATAGGAATTGGTTCAGGTCCCAAACCTTTCTGATGAATTCTATCACCCCAAAAGAACTGATCGCCAAAAAATGGTATTACAGTTGTTGGGCACTGCAAAAAATAACATAGGCAGTCAAATTACTTTCTCAACTACATTGGGGTTGTAGCATTTAAAAATATATGTCTTCAGCATCAAATTCTGACTGCCAAAAGGCAAACATCAGAAACCATACATCACTGTTTATTATATCCAGAATATTACAAGTATTACTTAAGCAATTAGATAACGAGCCCGATAAGAGGGGGCTCAATATATGAATAGTCTTTAATGTCACTGAAGATGGAAAACGAAGGATTTAGAACACAGGCAAGTTCATTTTTTCCCAAGGGTTCATGAAGCAAGTGTTTAGGCGTGGATAAAATAAGATATTCACATGTTCCAGAAATGAGCAACAAACAAGCTGAAAAACTTACACCAGCTCTTAGTCCAGTGGCCGTAGTTCCAGCACCACCATGATGAACCTGTTTATTTGTTGAAAATAATTGAATTAGCGTTGATTCACTGAGAGCATAAGGCACACAATAATTATTATATCCATATACAATAATATTGCATATGACGCAACATAAACTGAACTACGGCAACGATTGCAACCTTTTTCACATATTCAACCACAACGAATTGCAAGTCACAATCCAAGTTGGTAAACCTTAATTCAAATTGGGACAAGAAGCTTCATATTATATCCATGAAGCTAGATTTCAATCCTTTTTCCCAAAATATAAATCCAGATATTATACAAGCAACTAGCATGAGAATTAGTCTAACTCACCACAGCAGAACATTGAGGAAAAAGCCAATCGTGGGGGCAGTTCTCAAGAAGGAAGATATGATCCAGAACTTCTGAAACTGCATGACACAGACTATCATTTAGATGAATAATAGAGCAGATAAAAATTAAGACTTGGAGGTTAATAGTCTTTCTTATTTAGTTTTCTTATGTGTCCTGGACTCCTGGACGGGGAAAGAACCGTTATCAATTTATTTTAAATGTCCAATTCTGCCCATGAAGTCTTGACTTTTGAGTGCTAAGTGCTGCTAGACGAGAATCAAGCCAAAAATATGAACTCTCACTCGTAACAAAAGTGGTTCACTAGAAAGGGTTAGGGCTAGCATTATAAAGCAAGACTATAGAAAGCCTTTAGTAGATAAGTAAAAAACTTGCAGAAAGCTATAGAAGAAATAAAAAAATGGAGCTATTACAAAAAAATCATTTTCGAGCGTGTTCTAGGGAATAAAGGGATGTTGGATAACCATGAAGTGGTTAGCTTAATGCAAGTCCAATATATTCAATCTACTTCACCAATGCTTCCCTTAATTCAATTATATTCTTGCGCTGAGTCTTTGTACATGTTGTTGCATTGCTTGGGACCATTTGTTCTATCACTTTGTACTTTGCTAGTGAAGTACTGTGCATTTTACTGGCTTACAGAGCCAGAGCAGATGTTCTAATTTTGTGTTTCCCCCATTTTTGTGGAATTTGAAAATTGTAAGCTTTCTTAATCCACAAGGTAAATGGAATCGATATCTTATTTGAACATTAACACCAGAGTTATAATCACTCTCTTATCTGAACATTAACACCAGAATTATATATTCATGAAGCCTGGATCTGTTAGAGTACTTGAGATACAGCTAGAACAAGTCTTATAAGATTTCCACAAGCACCGACTTCTAGAGGAAGCTACAGGAAAGGCAGCAGTGCCAGCAGAGAAGCAGAAGAAAACAAAGAAAGCAAAGGATCAGCAGCAGAAAAGAATAGAAGCAACTGGTGACAACTGACATAGGCAGGGCTGATTGGCAGCAACAGCAGTAGACGCATAGAAATCATATTGGTGGTGAAGAAAGCCAGAAAGGGTAGCAGCCAAGATGACACTTTCAACTATTCTCTCTTGGGCATAATCTATGGAAAGACTTTCAGGTTACATATTTATCTAATCCACTAGCAAGTCTGATTTTATTCTTTACATTTTATCAATAGTCATTCCAAAATCTATGCGCCTCCCACCCCATTCAACCCTCCAAATTAAAAGCTGTAACATTGATATTCCTTTTTTTTTTTTTTTTTTTTTTGACAAGAAACTCCTTTCTTGTTATACTTGGATCGATTACCTTTTAACACTATAATTTCATGAAATTTATCTCTCTCAATCAATCAATCAATCAATCAAAGCCTTAATCCCATAAGTGGGGTCGGCTACATGAACCAAAAGTGATCATTTCGTGTAGTCATCGACAAAGATCTTCCTCCTCCATCCCTTACGATCCAAAGCCTCATCCTCATGCAAATCCATATACTTCATATCCTTCCTAACTCCTTCCAAGGAAGTTATTTTCGGTCTCCCTCTCCCTCGTTTAACCCCTCCATGGTCCCACTCTTCCACTCTTCGTACCGGTGTACCCTCGGGTCTCTGTCTTACATGTCCAAACCAACACAGTCGATTTTCCCTTAGTTTGTCTGCAATGCCTACCACCCCTACTTTCTAATTATACAATAAATGAGCAAATCTTGGTATACATGTGATATACTTTCATTAAATTATTTTAGATGCAAATGAAACTCTTCTTTACAGGCCTTTCTGTTTACTCGTTAAATAGTAATACCTCCATTCCTTTAAGTTGCTTTCGGTTTCTGTTGTCGTTCGTTCCTTTGAGTTGGTTGCACTTCCTCTCTAATCTATTTTTGGTAGACTTTCTACACTTTTACCCCTCCCAATTTCGCATGCTAACACTCTCTTTCTTACTTGTTACACAAATTCACTTACAAACTTGTTACACTTATTCACTTACAACACTCGCTTTCATTTCAAAATCTCTGTGCAAACAGTAAATGTAACCAACTCATATAATTAAAGGTAATACTAGGTTAGTATTAGTATTGTTTTTTTTCGCTATTGTCTTTTATATTTATTAAATTGATTTGTTAACAAGACAAAATATATAATATTCACTTTGTTACTCAATAAATGTCTTTTATTACTTAGCAAAACTATCTAGGACTTAGAAAAGCCTTACGGTAAGTCCTGTAAGATAATCAAATAATATAGCAAAAAAAGCAAGTAGGCAGTCATTGTGGGCAGAGAAATACTTCATCTCTATCAAGTCAAAATTAGAGCTGTGATTGATACAAAATAAAAATGTCGTCTAACAAAAGTGTTTTGAGGGAGCTTTTTAATGATACAGAAATTTTAGCAGAGCCATTGGACGACAAAATAAAAACCCCCCACCCCCAAAAAAAAGAAAAACAATGCACGACCAATGTGGAAACACAGACCGGAAGTAATGACCAACACCTCCAGACGGCATCACAACAACAAGGCTCAATGGGCCATAAATTGCGGAAAACAACCACTTCTCCCACCATGTAGCGAAAGGAAAAGCAATGAATTGACTATCCAGAAAGATCATCTACTCCAGAAGAAGAGCAATAGTATAAAGGATGTTAACGAAATCAGTCTCTGTATCTACTCCATAAAGGCTCCTAGTAAAGAGTTGACCACTTCAGCTTTTAAAGCCTAGATATTAATCATATACAGAGAAATTAATCTAATGAAGCCAACATGGTACACTGTGGGCTTTCACTCAAACCCCATTAACTCTCAAGCTACAAACTCCTCCAGGATAAAATAGATTTGATGATTCCCTCCTTATAGGTCATGCTAGTACGAAGATCTTTAAGCTTTTATTCTTCGCATTTATCTTTCTGTCCTCTAAGAAAATAGACATCAGCTACTGTGACTCTGACCTACTACTGGCAGGAATTGTACTGCTGTACAAAGGCTGTCAAGGATGGAATGAGAGCATAAGCTGGTCCTCTGACCTAGAGGCCTAGTAATCAGAATCCCCAACCATCCAAAAGAATCCAAGACAGACAAAATGATGATAAAGTAGTCACAATTTAACAAGTTTTTCATTTATATTACAAAGCCACAAAATAATGGAAAGACAGTTATAATAATTGCAGACAGAAATGATCAACTGACAAGGAAAGATGGCCAGGAAATGAACACTTACAAATACCAAGGTCTCCCCAGCCACGATCGAGTATTCCACGTTGTCCAGTATCTTTTAATGCTTCCAATATGATACTGGTCGTTTTTCTGGGATCTTCAAGAGGCTATACATGATAAAAGACTGAGTAAGCATGCAGCAAGAACTCCTAAAGACAAAGTGGTTTAGGGTAAGATGTAAAACTAATACATTATCAAGCAATCCATAGTGCTTCTAGTTCTTAGTTAAATTAAGTAGGGCTGTTCTTTTTTTTAAATCCTTTAATTTGGTGGGATTTTGGCTATCCAAATCCAAGAGAGTACAGCAGCTGTAGAAGGCTGGAAGTTTTCAATTAATAAAGAAGGTAAAGTATGAATATAAATCATGAAACCTTGAGGGTCCAGCTTTCACATGATAGAGAAGAACATCAACAACTAAGGGAAAAAGTTCACAGACGAAGCTGTGAAAGTGGCTTTTGTAACGAATGAATGGAACAGATTGCAGCCTTCGCAATGTGATTTTTTTTTTTTTTAATTTTTTTTTTCTAAAAAATGAACACATTAATGGATTTTAGCCTTATTTTTGCCTTTTTTCTATTCTAACAAGTATTCTTTTAACACAATACAAACCAACCTATAATACTCCCTTTGTCCCAGATTACTCACATCATTTTGACTTTTTGCACTATTCACATTCACCACATTGAACATCTTTATATGCTAATACGAGATATGAAAACATATATTAATATGTAGATGGTGTTGGGTTCATTTTTATGTTAATTATGTATATATTCAAACTATTATTTTTTTCATAATTTTCATTAGTAATTGATAATTATAGATCTTAATAGTCAAAGTTTTGAATTGGCAACATGTCCAATCAAAGTGATGCAAGTAATATGGAAAAAAGGGAATAATACAACTGGATTTTATATTTGGCTAATGAATAACTTGAACTTTAAATGCTCCATCACTTTATTATTACTCCATACGCCTTTTTTGTATGCACCATTAGTGTTCAATTGTTAATACTTGAATGATAAGTTTGATAAGAAAGAAAAGTAGGATCTTACTATTAAAGGCATCTCAATACGAAAAACGGTACATACAAATAGGGATGGATGGAGTATAAATTGACACAACTCATCATATACATTACCCAATATGAATGCCCCCGCCACATTATTTCATCTTTATCTGGTGTGTACACATTTTCTGCTGTAATACACGTTTTTTATCTCTTTCTTTTGGCCAATTCTGACATTGGACGAAACCAAGAGAGAAAAAAAAAGTTCTAATGAGGTGAGTCACCGTTACAGACGTGTCAAGAAGGATGTGATTTTTATTGCGGCATAATATAACAGCATTTTGAAAAGTGGCGAATTTTACATAACTGTTAGTGTTTAGAGAAGGATTAAGGTGGTCTTACCATACTCCCAAATCCAATATAGATGGGTCTCTGCCCTTTCTTTATCCACTCAACAAATGCTCCCTTTGGTTGATACTTAGAACCAAGATTTAAGAAACAATAACCAACAACATCAACCAAGGGACCCCAATCTGCAAAAAATATGTACATTAGAGATTTAAAAGCATGAAGAAGTCCAACCAACAGAGAAAACAAAAAACAAAATTATAGTTGAAGCAGATATCTTGTTATTGCACCAATGGCTTGAATATGACAGTATGACATGGTCGTCAATCAATACAGTTGTACCTTTTGGTTTTGGAACGACATGAGGACTCCACATGTATCCTGTAGGCAAATGAGATATAGATCCATGGTACATGCTAAAGTATGCAATAGGAGGAAGTTTCAGCTTCCTTTTCCTGAAGTCGTTGATATAGCTCCTTATGCCCCACCAAATCATCAAGTCAACAATTATGTATGACAACTGTTCAGGAGGTGCAAACAAAAAAATGTTAGAGAGAAACCATTTGGAGTAAGAGAGGGCCAGGAAATAGACCAATTAAAGTAACATACCCAGTTACCATAGCTTTGTGGTACACGAGCCAGTGGATGTGGAAACTCATAAGTTGGCCTGCCTATTATAAATAAGTGTAAGGAGAAATTATAATATATTACATTTTTCAAGAGCACATGAAAAATAGCTACTCCCTCCTTCCACAAATAATAGTCTTCTTTCTCTTTTGCACAAGTTTTAGAAAGCTAAAAAAATGTGGGGTTCAATTAATTAACGCTAAATATATAAACTAAGATAGTGGGGTTTGGTTGAATAAAAGTAACTAATAAATAAGATAGGGGGGTTTGGTAGAGTATAAATGAATATAAAAAAAAAAATAGATAAATGTGAAATGGGACTTTTATTTAGGGACAAGGTTTTTGGGTGAAATGGGACTTTTATCTAGGGACAGAGGGAGTAATGAGTAACGATATGAAGATTTTTCATTTTTCAGGTAAAAGTAAACATGTTTACAAAGAAGTATTGACAGACTGCCTGAAGTAGTGAATTGCATATGCATGTCGATATTAGTAAAATCCCTAAATCCCTTTTAACACATGCCACAATATGCTACATCAGATACTTGATTTGGAGTTCAAATATAAGGATGTGCCCAAGAAGATTCTTGTGCTCATTTCCAAAATGTACAACAAGAAGCCTGTAGAGAAAGCATTGCCCATTTTTTCAAACCCAGCTGATTTTGCTAAATTACCCACATTAATAGCTGCTAGAAATATCTCTGTCTCACCAATTGTCCTGAATTACCTATTTCAAAGCTGTTTTGACACATGGAACCAGAAATTTTCAAATATGGCTTGGGCTTAAAGGACAAGGTAGATCCGAAAAATAAAAGATTTATATGATCTTAATGTATTCAGTTTTTATACGATCTTTTAGATTAGCTATAGAATGCTCAGACTAAGTATAGAGAAATCTTTTGGTGGGAAAAAAAATTCTTCTCCCTTTTGTTACAGTATTATATCTTCAAGCAGATGCTAAAATATAGACAGCATGCATCGACACTTTACAAAAATATAAGTTCCAAAATCATGGTTTTGGGTCTATCTTGCGCCGTCTCCTCCCCCCCCCCCCCCCCTCTTTCTCTTGTTGACTACTCCAAGAAACCCGCTAGTGGGGCAGAGACAATGTACATCTGATTTAATAAGTTAATTCAGGTGAAGTGTGATAACTTACGTCCATGGCATTGTGAAGAATATGTGTAGAGGTACACCAAGAGCTTCTGCAGCATGCACATGCCCTGCAATATATATCAACTTATTATTAGACTGCCTTTTAAGAGAAGTAAAAAAAATGATCAAATGTGCCAATTAGCCAACAAATGAACCCCGTTATGACAAATTGACAACTGCTCACAATGCATAGACAGCTTCAAGATATGTATATAACCAACTCAGCCAGGTACACTTTTGCTCACATCCAATTAGACTATGTTGCTCAAAGCAGTTGATGTATTTTCCTATATACTATATCATCTATCTTTTATGTTATACATGTTAAGAATAAAGTTTTATTACAATGGTTCATAAGTTGCTACTGGCTAGTAACCTAGTAGTACGTTATTGATATTTCAACCTTAAAAAGTGAACTAACATTGCACTAAATACTTTTAAAGTGACAACAACAACAACAACAACAACAACAACAACAACAACAAAATAAAATAAAATAAAAAGTGTCAATTGGATAGAAAATATAGAACGGAGGGAGCACAAATATCTAAGCAAAGTTCAAGACCTAGTTACGTGGTTCCAAAATGTTAAAACAATGTTGGTATCAGTTGCAACCACTATAAAGAAGCTATAAAGGTATAAATATATCCCTGCATCCAATTAAAACCCCGAAATAATTAAAAAAAATTATCACAGAAGGATTGGAGACAGTTACGATAGAAAGCTATTATCAAACTCCAGCAGTAACTTGATAATTGGGAAAGTCACATTCATATATGATATGTCAACACTCATCTCTCAAGCCTGTCATGAACTTACCGTAAGCAGGAGGATTAGCAATGATTGCTTGAGCTCTAAAAGACACGCTAGTCTCTATATCTGGTTCTGTACATGCAGGAAGAAGTGATTCGATAATAGCCTTCAATTGCTTCCGTTGAATTGAAATTTCTCCTGGGGCAGAGGGAATAAGCCCCTTATTTCTTGCCATATCTGATTTTCGGAAAGCAATGGAAAAAGCTATCTCAGTGGTCTAAAAGATTTAAATGCAACAAAAAACAATCTACCATGTAACAAATGAGCGTGATAATAAATGACTAGCTACAGCATCTATGCAATGCCAACAAAATTTCTAATTATTTTCTAAACAAATAGTTATGTGTAGAGTCATGCAACGTTGATGTAGAAACAAGTTGTATACTTGTATATAGACCACAAAATCAAAGTATAGTATTCAATTTTAGTAGAAACATTAATTACAAGAAATTGGAAAAATTGTATGATTTGGTAATTGTTGAAAGGCCATGCAGAATGCAGTCAAAGGTTAAGGCTACAATTTCTTCTTTAGTAAAAAAGTCACTATTGTCTATGCTCAGTACCTGCAAATAGTAGAAGTCTAGTAACACCTCAAAGTAATGATACTTCCCATTCCACGAATGTTTGACACAATCACAGATCACAGTGCAAAAAATAAACAATTGTAATTTTTGTAAAAAAACTAACAAGAGTATCAAATGGAAATTAGTGTGGTTTTGAAAACATTCAAGATGACCAGTGTTGACAATAGAGTAAAACAATGAAGGATGTCTAGCTTGTATTACTTCTCCAATCACAGGTAAAACCCAGAGACCATTTGAAACTCGCTGATGTGCAAAACACCACATTGTTTACAACCACAATTATAATGAGGCAAGAACATGAAAAGTGAACTATTTGGATTGAAAAATAATTTGAGCTTTAGACAAGCTAGTCTGTGCTGTAATCAATCTGACTTTAGCAATGGCTCACATTTATAATCTGCCACCATGGTCTTATGGATCAGTAAGCTATAATGGATGTATAATACAAATATTTAGAGAGCTATTGACTTTTGGTCTTTTGCAATCAATACAAACAAAATCAGGGTCAATCTTTAATTCTTTAGGAGAGATATTCCTAGTTGATGCTCAGCTCACAAAATGACCCGTGGAGGCCAACTTTAAAACAGTAATCAGCAGATAAAGCAATAAGGGGGTAGATGATAAAGCTAATGAAGCAGAAAGAAAGTAAAAAGGAGAATAAAATATCAGAGACAACTTACACCCTGCCAGAACTCGAGGATCACCACCTAAGGGATAGAATTCAACGCCAGCAGATTTGACAAAATCTCTAAAGTTAGTATGCGTAGCCAACCGAACACGATGACCAAATTCCTGCACGTAGGATAGATGAACTTTTAGCCCCATAAATTTGCAAAATACAAAAAGTTTTTTTTCCCCCTTGTTTTACTTTACAAGCAAGACCCACATTTACAAGTATAACCATGCACGAAGATATGGGACAAAATTTAGTAACAGCATATTTAGTCTCTCTTGGCAAAACACAATACCAATATAGTTACTAATATAGCCAACTATGATCAAAGTGAGCAATTTCAGCAAAGGCATAATTCTGCAAGCTTTAAAGCAGCATGAATAAGTGCAAATCCAGAGAAGAAAAAGATATGTCTCACATCTCATTGTCAGCGACGGGGGAACTGTAGGATAAGAGTACTCACACAGGTAATCCAAAATAATCATGTCACATAAGGATGTAATGTTGGATATTCATGCAACACTCCAAAGACTCCCCCAACTCCTAACCAAATAAAATTCTAGCAGTATGAAGCAGTCAGTCTCACAAAGCTCTGACTAGTCCCCCATCCCTCATTGATCGCACACAGAAATTTAATTTTCACCAGAAGGGCGGAAGTTAGTTCGAGGTGCAAACAAGTTAACTAGTTAAAGGTCACTCCAAAACATTACTTCCAATCCACACACACACACACACACACACACACACAACAAAAATCCCTTTCAGATGTACGAAAGTTCATTGTTAGTTAGTACATTTTGTAAGCTAAAAGCATGATCATCAACAATCAGTTACAAGAGCATCTAACAAAAAAGAGACAAATTTGATTAAAGCTTGTGAGCCTGCCTGAAGTCTCTTTGCCATAGCTAGAAATGGTTGAACATCTCCTCTTGTCCCAACAACAAGAAGGGCAATTTGCAATCTTGGTACAGATTTATTGTGATTAGGAGCAATTTCATTAGCAGGAAGAGAAGCACTTTCAACAGAATGAAGCTCCAAAAGCTCAGAAGTTACAGAGGAATTTCTAGATAAATCCACCTCCACTGTTCCGTCATTTTGTATTTTAACTATGTTTGCGATAAGCTTTTCCTGAGATTAACAAGAACAATAAACTTCATCAATGATACAACAACTCCATGCAATCTGTACGCCTGAAAGCTACTAGTAGAGGAAATTTTACAATGTGTCGACTTCTTTAGAGTACAATGAATGTAAACTTAAGAAAACAGGACACTTTAAAAAGTAGCAAATAAATCAACACTATACACATCAGCTCATTACCAGAAAAAAATAGTAAACATAAATCTCATAGTGCCTGCAGGCTGCATCTGACAAAACAATATATGGTATAAAGACATAATTTACTATTAAAGGGGAATAAGGTGTTGACTATCTCAAAGCCCTTGGGTCAATAACTAGTCAATCGGAATAAAAATGATAACTTTCTGAAACAAATTCCTGGAAATTGACAATATTCCACTTTAATAAATAATAGCCTTTGATTTAGAAAATCTCGGTTTAAATACAACTACTTTTGAAATTTGTTCCACTTGGATACTTTACATCAACAGGGTTAATTCTTCCGTAAAACCTCAATGACGAAGACAACTTGTTGTACCTTGTACGTTTAGTAAATTTCGAAAAACGATAATTATTAAACTAGGTACATGGAATCCAATGGGCCTACCCTCCCTCTACATTTTGACAACATTAGTCATTAGCAAATTCTAGCTATAAAACACATTGTCACCAAATGAATAGAAACAGATGCTAACTTCAGGTTCGAAAAGACACCTGCAGTAGCAGATATATTCAACTTATATTACCTTATCACGCTGTGATAGTCTATCCAATTTCATATCATGTCTTCTACTGTCCTGATGACTCTTAGACTTGCTCATTATGATGTCATCTTTATCAACCAATAAACTTTTATGGGCTTCAATACCACCTGAAGGCGCTGTAATACTGTGATCCAACCCTGCCAGAGTGCCAGGAGAGATATTGAGCATTGTAAGAATATCAGTGCAGATATGAGGGTTCTGATACTTTTATAATAAGTTATATAAATTTCAAAAGTATTTTTCATATATCCAACTCTCACTGCTGAACCACTGTTTTACAATGGCTAATAATACAAGAGACCACAGCCCACATTATGTAAAAGTTTAAAAGCAAAAGGTCCTTGAAATGTAATTTACATGATAGCAGCCTTATAGGATTATGAATGAGATTCATCTAATGACAGTAGATAGCTACAACAGCAGTGCATCTTCACAAATTTCCAGATTGAACAATTATAGTTTATAACTACAGATACAGCAAATTTGACGTTTGGACCTCAGGATACAAAGTCTAAGTATGTACAACATAGGTCAAGACAATTGACTAGCTAAGTACTCTAATCAAATTACTAAAAACATAGAGTTCAAGGAAAAAAAAAAAAAAAAAAAGAAGGAATTAGAAAGTTGAAGCTAGAAATTTATAGAAGAATATATTCCAATACATTCCTATATAAGAAAGATAAAAGCTAGAAATTAACTTATGTAGATTCGATCTACAACTAAACTGAGGTACTGCGTAGCTATGGATCAAACTCCAAATAAAGTGAGACTTTTTTTTTTTTTTTTTTTTTATGTTAGGAAGGAAATTATTTTTACATAAACTCCAATACAAAATCAAGACAGCTGCCTTGCAGAAAATAAATCATGTACCAAGCTTTGTAAGATGAATGAAAAACTGATTAAATCAATTTGAGATTTGAAACCCATGCAGTTGACCTATAAGAAATCTTATTCAATTTTAATACGAAGTAGACAAAAAGTACATCAAAAGAATTGACTATGAAGAGAGATTATCAAGTACAGTTCTAATGGAACGCATTGAGCCACCTATTCCTATCTAATGCAGACTAACAAATCAGGAGATTCTAAACTATGCATGCTTGGTTTATCAAGCTGAGTATTTGTTATAAGCTACTTCATATAGCAAATACATACTCTTAGGGAACATAAAAAAAAGTACAAGCTCCCACTATTATCTATTGATGCACCAACTTTCCACTTTGAGATGTTTTTATATGATGTACCCACTTCTATTATATTCAATTTTTGGTACACAGTTTACCATCCCCCCCTCCTTACCCCACGTATTGACACCTTTCTACGCACTCTCTCTCATTGTAGCCAACTCCTTCTCTGTATGATTGATTTTGAGGATGAGAAAAGGGAATTTGGGGTGGTTAGGGGGTGGAAAAAAGGAATGTGGGTGGTTTCGGGGGTAGGGAAATGTATGTAGGGTGGTTTCGGGTCATAATTAACCCTAATGACTGACGAAGTTAATAATCATTAGTCATCAAGGATATATGATGTATTTTTGTGAAAACTCGGGGATATATGATGAATTTAAAAAAGTTCAGGGGGTACATGGTGAATAAACAAAAAACTCAGGGGTATATGGTGAAAAAACCGTTGTTATAATTCATTTTGGTCGACTACTTAAATAAAAAAGAAACAATTCTTTGGGGAAGACCAATCATATAATATAGTCATTGTATCCATTCGATACTTTCTAGTATTTCTAAGGATCACAAATAGCCATAATATGTATATAAATGATATTATTGTTTACCTCTATTGGCTACAAGGTGAGGAACAGTGATTAGCCAACTACATAATATCCAAGACTCCTTCATAACACTAGAATTAGAGACAAGGATATATGATGTAATGGATGTAACTGTCAAAAACTTAATTATGTACTTTCCTTGTCTATACCCTTGTACAGGATGACCTCAACAAAGTCTAGACTAAATTCTAATACAACCCTACAACAAGATTCCGACTAAACTCAAATCTAGCTCTACAGCAATCATCTGACTAAACTCAAATTTAGCAACACAACAATATTCTCACTAAACTCAGACTTTCCAACCAAACTCGAACTTAGCACCACAGCATTATTATTATTCTGACTAAACTCGAATTTAGCTCCACATATTCTGACTAAACTCAAGTTTAGCTTTAGCTCCACAACAATATTCTGACTAAACTCGAATTTGGCTCCACAACTATACTCTGACTAAACTCAAAATTTGTGACTAAACTCGAACTTAGCTCAACAAATAACATTATGAATAAAGTCAAACTTTCCAACTAAACTTGAATTTAGGCAATTTAGCTCCACAACAAAGTTTAACAAAACAAAATGATCACAAAAGCAATAACAAGAAATATACCTCTTTTTGGAGGATTGGAATGAATTTCTGGAAGTGAAGACTGCCTCAAATAATGCACATGATCATCTTTCTTCACATCATCATCATTAATTAAGACTTTATTGTCTGTTTCAGACTCGGCAACAACTCGAATTTCATGTTCCTCACCAATGCTAATTTCTTCCCCAATATCATATCTTTCTTCTAAATTAATACACCCTTTATTCTCCATTGAAATTATATCATACACAATTTCTCAGGCTAATACCCCAAAAAAAAAAAAAAAAAAAAAAAAAAAAAAAAAAAAAAAATTATTGTAAAAATCTGATTCTAAAATTGCCCACAAAAATCAGAAGCAAACCCAATAAATAATTATAAAAAAATTAAAGAATTCAAACCAAAGAATTAAGAAGAAACCCAATTCATCCGATAAAATTCAATTGAATAAAATAAAAAATAAATTAATTGAACCAGTCAAACATAAATCCCCTGAAACAGTAGATATGGTAAGAGTTTAAACCGCTAGTCAAAATCAAAGTATAATAGAATGTTAGGTGCAGCAACTTTTCTGCGTAAATTTAAATTTGCGCACAATCTTAATAAAAAAAATCCCAGAAAAGTGGGGGTTTTGAAATGGGTTTTTACAGAATTAATTAAGACTTTTGTATGATTGAGCAGTTTATACTGTTTTAGCAATTGAATTATTTTTTTGTTTTATGCTGGAAATTGTAATTTAATTTTTTTAACAACGAGAGAATTGGGTTGACGATAATTGGAGTAAAAGGAGAATAATGATTGGGGTATTGGAAATGCCAACGACCACGTTGGTGTAGCAGTGCCTGTGTGTTAACTTCTATGGAAATTATGACGGTATTGTGCAATGCATTGTGTAGGCCCACATTCAAGCTCCCCCCCACCTCTTAGCTGTCAGATTCGGTGTGCAAGCCGGGTTCGGAACAGGTCTTGTCAGGTTGAGTTTGTAACGGGTCAACACTTGAGAGTAGAGGTAAGATAAGGAAATCCTCCTATTCTTAAGCATATGTAAATGATAGGTTCGAACTTTACAAATTGAGTTTATAACGGGTCAACATTTGAGAGTAGAGCGGTAGATAAGGAAATCCTCCTACTCCCAAACATATGTAAATGATGGGTTCGAGCTTAACAAATTGAGTTCCCTCTCATCTCCACCTGGGAAGTGTGAAGCTTGGTTTCACGAATTTAGGATATGCTAAGTCAATTTGCCAAGTTATGCAAATCGAATTCAAGAATAGGTGACATCATATTTGATCAAATCATTTTGTATAGCTCTAAATAGAAGCATTGGAGTAAACTTATTACTCTTTTTTTTTCTCATGTTTAATTCTTTTTTTCCGATGTGGGACATGATAGTATTGTCTTCGGCAAGGCTATGATGACGACTATTCTTGAGGTAATGGGAGGAATTGTTGTAAAAATGGTGTCTAAAACAATAGTCAATAGAAACAAACAAGAACAAAAGCAAAAGAGGAAATTCGGTGTGGCGTGATGAATCACTGCCTTTGAAAACGAATTCCGGCGCAACCGGGGTGCACAATTGTAATCGCCGGATCGTCCCCTAAGGTTACACACCACTCTCACACTAAGGCACTTTAGAGTAAGAGGTGGAGTCTATGAAAACTTATGCCCAAAAAATAAAGGTGTTTAGCTTGTGTTTAATATGTTTTTTCAGTATCCAATCAGGAAAAAATCATCCTTTAATTTATAATGATGGATGGAGGAAGATAGAAGATCATAGAGGAATATTATCATCAATGGAGGAACAAAATCAGAATAAACATAGTGAATTAATCACTATAAACAACCTTTTAAATGGAAGGTTACAAGAAATCAAACAAGAAGAAGAATCCAACAAAGTTGTTGGAGTCCAACGGACGAGTTCGCGCCCGGTCGGGCGGACACTCCTATTTTTCCAAACGTCTTCTCGCGCCCGGTCGGGCGAGCACCCTGTCAAAATCCGGGTTGCTCTCGCGCCCGGTCGAGCGACGGAACTCCAGATTTTACGACTCCTCTTGCGCTCAGTCGGGCGCCCATATCAGACTACTTTGAATTTCCTTTCTTTATTCCAACAATCCCCCACTAAAGGAAGGGAAGAAAGCCAACAAAAGATGAGAATAAGCACCATATTGGGATTAAGAGGAGTTTAATACATAACACTTAGATATTACATAAGTAATTTGAAATCTTAGTGCTTAGTGAAATAAGGCAATGAGCTACAAGTACAAGGGTGGATAATACCTTGAAACCCTTAGACTCTTGATCATGGAGTGGACTGACCTTTAAACTCCAAGACTTAACACAAGACCCCTACAACACATACATCACTCCAAAATTTACACAAACTCCGCGAAGAGATATGCTCTTTTATAGCCAAGCATATTCACCTTAGGTCTAGAGGAGGCTCTAGAAAACCGACCAAAGTTTTCATAGAAAATGGCTAGTCTTCACAACCACATAGGTGAGTCCTTTAATCGCGCATCTCAATAGCACAAGGACCCATTAAGATTTAAACAACTTAACCTCACAAACAAACAAATATTACAAACATTATCACCATAGGAACTAGGACAAATGTAAAGTATCACATGGCCTTGAGTCCTATTCCCCTCGATGATTCTTCAACTTGTTTTTTTGCTAACCATTTCGTCAAAGGATCCGCCAAGTTCTTTTCGGACCTTACCTAGCCCAATGCAATAACTCCATTCTTGAGAAATTGCCTCACAACTTTGTGTCTCATACGCATATGTCTCTTTTTGCCGCTGAAGTTGTTGTTTTTGGCAACTCCAATGACCGCTTGAGAGTCACAATGTACGGACACCGGAGATGAAGACTTCCCCCACAATGGTATGTCGGCTAGGAAATTCCTAAGCCACTCCGCTTCATGACCTGCCAACTCAAGAGCAATGAATTCGGATTCCATGGTGGAGCGAGCTAAACATGGTTGTTTTGAGGACTTCCATGAAATAGCACCTCCACCCAAAACAAAAACATACCTACTAGTAGAGACAACTTCATCATTATCGATTACCCAATTAGCATCACAATAGCCTTCTAAAACATTAGGAAAGCGATTAAAATGCAAGCATACCTCCATGGTACCTTTGAGATACCTAAGTAGCCGACGAAGAGCAACCCAATGATCTTGACTTGGATTGTGAGCATATCTACTAAGTCTACTTACTGCTTAGGCAATGTCGGGTCGTGTACAATTCATCAAGAACATAACACCACCAATCACCAATGACCAATCACCCTTGCATAGAGCTCTTGTGAAACGCCAGATCTCTTGTTTTCTAACTTTGTGTTGGCATCATATGGCACCTTGCTAGGAACAACATCAAAAGAACCAAATTTCTTTAGAATTTTTTCTACATAGTGAGATTGACTCAAGGAAAAACTATTCTCCGTTTTCTTTAGACGAATTCCAAGAATAACATCGGCTTCTCCCATGTCTTTCATTTCAAACTTAGTAGAAAGCATAGCCTTGGCATCATTCACCACATCAAGGTTAGTACCAACAATAAGCATATCATCAACATATAAGCAAATTATAACACATGATGATCCAAACTCTTTAGAATACAAGCATGCCCCCAATGAATTAGCAACATAGCCACAACTCTTAAGAGTACTATCAAACTTTTCAAACCATTGCTTAGGAGCTTGCTTAAGACCATAAAGAGACTTTCTAAGCTTACACACTTTGTTTTCTTAACCTTTCACCACAAAACCTTCCGGTTGGGTCATATAAATTTCTTCATCAAGATCTCCATTAAGAAAAGCCGTTTTGACATCCATTTGGTGAACCACTAAGTCATGAATTGCCGCAAGGGCTACCAAGGTTCTAATGGTGGCAATCTTAGTCACGGGAGAGTAGGTGTCAAAGAAATCTATACCTTCTTTTTGAGTGAAAACTCTAATGATAAGTCTAGCTTTAAACTTTTCTATGGTCCCATATGGTCCAAGTTTCTTCTTAAAAATCCACTTACAACTTATAGGTTTAGAACCCTTAGGCAAGTCACAAAGATCCCAAGTGTGATTGGACATGATAGAATCAAGTTCACTCTTAATGGCCTCTTTCCAAAAACTAGCATCTATGGACCTCATTGCCCATCATAAGTCTTAGGGTCTTCCTCTAAGAGAAACAAAGACACAACATGCTCACTCAAAGAATTCACATCAAAGTCTTCTACCACAAAAGAATTCAAAAAATCCGGTCCAAAGGAAGACTCTACTCTAAGTCTCTTACTTCTCCTATGTACAACTTCTGCCACTTTGGTAGAGGAAGAGGGGAGACTAGAACTAGGCATAGAATCAACAAAAGGCACATCCATACTTGACTTACTAGCATGCACATCAATATTAGAGGACAAAGACTTGTTCATAGGAAAAATATTCTCAAAAAATACCGCATCTCTGGCTTCACAAATTGTTCTATCACTTAATAACATGAACCTATATGCTGCACTATTATGAGCACATCCAATGAATACACAATCAAAAGTTTTAGACCCGATGGTAAATTTTTTTTTTTTTAAATATGGAAAAGCCACCTTAGCCAAACACCCCCACACTTTCAAAATTTTAAAATTTAGACTATATCCCTTCCAATGTTCATAGGGAGTTTTATCTAATTTTTTATGGGGCACTCTATTGAGTACATAACAAGCGGAAAGAACCGCCTCTCCCCACAAGTTATTGGATAAACCGGAACTAAGAAGCATGACATTCATAGTCTCTTTCAAAGATTTATTTTTCCTTTTGGCAATACCATTAGATTGGGGAGTGTAAGGTGGACTTGTTTCTACTTTAAAACGCACTTTCGGCTTCATCTTTTGTTTTAAGCAAATAAACTTTGATATAATGAGAAAAGTCATCAACAAAAGTAATATAATAGTTTTTTCCACCCCTACGAGTGCACTTTTTAAAGTCCACTAAATCCAAATGAATCAATTCAAGTAATTTTGTACTTCTTTATACCACTTGCTTAGGTTTCTTAGTATGTTTGGCTTCAACACAAATTTGGCATTTGTCAAGTTTGTCATCCATTGAAAAATTAATCAAATTCATGTCCTTTAACCTTTTTAAATAAGAAGAATTTAAGTGACCCAAACGATTGTGCCAAACATCCAAAGACTCAACAATATAAGCAAAAGAAGTACTTCCATTCTCATTCATAACATTCAAAACAAACAAGCCATTATTGAGGTAACCTTTCCCAACAAAGTCTCCATTCTTAGTCATTACAATCTTGTCGGCCTCAAAGACAAGTTTTAGGCCGGCTTTGTTGAGAAGGGCTCTCGAAACAAGATTCTCCTAAGAGAAGGTACATACAACACATTATTTAAAAATAAAGGATTTCTGGAGGTAAGTTTGAGATGGACCTTTCCTTTGCCAAAGACTCCGGCGGTGCTACTATTGCCCATGTAGACATGATCGCCGTTGGTTACATCTTCAAACTCGGTCATCAAAGCCTTGTTTGCACAAAAGTGCCTTGATGCTCCGGTGTCCAAAATCCACTCAATTTTGTTTTCCACAAGTTGGCTTCAACCACCACCGACACTATGATATCTTCCTTTTCAACAAAGTTAGCTTGGGAGGTAGTGCCATCTTTCTTAGCTCCATGCCTTCGGTTACATTGATATGCTTTGTGTCCTATGATTCCACACACATAGCACGCCCCCTCAGGCTTTTGGATTTTGTTTTATGAGTAAAGTTGCTTTTGGACTTGTTATGTCCCTTCTTCTTGGAGTTTTTCCTGTTTTTAAACACATTCAAAGGAGACTCAACAAGATTAGCAATAGAAGAATTAAAAGATAAATTTTCAAACTTATCCTTAAGGCGATTAGCCTCTTCGGTTCTCATGTGACTAATGAGTTCTTGGAGGGTCATGTCCTTCTTCTTGTGCTTCAAAGAATTACGGTAGTCATTCCAAGAGGGAGGGACTTTCTCCAAGAGGACATTGGCTTGAAGAGTCTC